GGCGGGGAGTCTGCTTCTCCCTCTGACCCTCTTCCCTCTCGTGCTCTCTCTCACTCTCTCTCTCTCAAATAAATAAATAAAATCTTTAAAAAAAAATCCTGCTTGTTGATATTACCACCAATATTATCAGAAAAGTCTTTATTGAGATGTCCAGCTCACAGTGAGAAATACAAGTTTGCCAAAATTCTAATTTTCATTTGAAAGCTACAATTTTATTATTTGCAACAAATGGGTTAATATGACAGACTCACTTTGTTCATTTTTAAGAAATGTCTACCAAATACCATAGACTCAATAACCATAGTTGGTCTTAGTCATCTATTCAAATAAAAATAGTATTCATGAAAACAGTTACTTCAGACTCCAACTGAAATAACTGCATTAAAATAACCATGTTTTGGTATGCACAGTGCTTTTTATCTAATTCCCACTTTATCAGATTCTGAAAGATGGAGGAGGAGATAAAATTTTTACGGCTTCATCAAAGATACTCTTAAGTGAGCCTGCCCTTAAGAAACACTCAAATGCACAGCAGTGAAAAAATGTAGTCAGTATTGCTAATACAGTGCACTGCCCTGCCTTGCTTTATGTTCAGGTGACAGTTTTTCCCACCCTTCATGCAAATGTTCACATGGGACTTGCAAGTTTATATATTCTGCATGCAATTCTGTCAGCTCTGTACATTGCAAATAATTTTGTCTATTCTTTGCTTTGTCTTTTCATTTTCTTAAGAGTCTGGATGATTATTAATTTTTTTGTTTTTTTTGCATTCTAGGAAATCTGCCTAATCTAAGGTCACAAAGATTTTGTTCCTTCTAGAAGTGTTAAAACTATTGCTTTTAGGCTATGACTCATCTTTAGTTATTTTTTTGTGTATGTTGTGAAGGGCAGGGTTTGTTTTTCTGTATAAATATCTAGCTGTCAGTACCATCTGTTAAAAACATGAAAACGGTTTATTATCTTTTATAGATGTCATTAGATTCAGTCTGCTAATATTTTCTGGATTTCTGCTATGTTCATGAGGACTACCGTCCTGTAATTTTGTTTTGTAATGTCTTTGTCAAGTTTTAGTATTAAAACCGTGGCCTCATAAAACAAGTTGGAAGTGTTCCTCTCCCCCTCTGTTCTCTGAAAGACTGTTAAAACTGGTGTTACTTCTTCCTTGATTTACAAGTGAAACCCCATGGGACTAAAGTGTTCCTTTTGGGAGGATATTATTTAATCATTTGAATTGCATTAATAGATGTGAGGCTATTCTGGTTTTGTCTATTCTTGTCAGTTTTGGTTGAGTCTTAGTTTTCCAATTTGTCTAAACTACTGTATTGGCATAAAAATCATAGTAATTTTATTTTAGGTATCCTTTTAATTTAGGTAAGAGCCATAGTAGTAACTTTTCTTTCCATCTTGATATTAGACGATTTTGTTGTTCTTTTGAGAACCAGTTAGCAGTTTCACTATTTTTTTCTCCACTGTTCTTCAGTCCTATATATGCTGACTTCTTTTATTATTTCCACCTTTCTATTTACTTTGTTATTTTTTATTTAGAAAATAGAGTATTAGACCATTGAATGTGCACCTCTTTTGGTTCTCTAAATCATTTTTTTAGCCAAAAAAAAAAAAGGATTCCTGACCATAACAGAAAAAACTAGAAATCTGTAAGAAAATACTACCTGGAAATTAAATACATTCCAAAAGAATCCAACAGAAGAAATGTCAAAGATGACAATGCAACATATCAAATTCTGTGAGATGAAGCTAAATGGTATAGCTTTCTAGAAAGAAAGGTCTCAAGTCAATAATCTAAACTTCTACCATAAAGCGAGAAAAGAGCAAAGCCCAAAGCAAGCAGAAAAAAAGGAAAGAGCAGAAATCAAAGAATTGAAAACTGAAAGACAATAAAGTCAATGAAACAATAAACTGGTTCTTTGAAAAGACAGTAAAATCGACAAACTTCAGCAAGATTGACAAAGAGAAAAAAACATAAATTACCCATACCAGGAATGAAACAAGTGATACCACTTCAGAGCTTGAAGACATCAAAAGGATAATGAGGAAATACCATGACCTCTACACAAATTACAAATTTGACAATTTAGAAGGAAAAAAATTCCACAAAAAACACAAACTATCACAAGTCACCCATTATAAAATAAATTTAAGTAGCCCCATAACTATTAAAGAAATTGTACTTTATATTCTCCCCATCCCACCCCCCAATCTCTAGGCCCAGTTTCACAGGAGGATGCTAATAATTAAAGGATTAAGAAAAATTCTATATAATTCTACAGATAAATGGAAAAACATTTCCCAATTCATTTTATAAAGGTAGCATTACCCCAAAACCAAAGAAAGCCAGTAGGGAAAAACAAAAAAGAAAAAGAAAACATACTGGTCAAAGACCTTCATGAACATACACAAAAATCACGACCAAACTATGAGCAAACAAAATCCTGTAATAAAGGCATACCCTGGAGCTATTTCAGGTTCTGTTCCATACAACCACAACAAAGCAAGTATCACAAGGCAAAATTTTGGGTTTCCCAGTGCATATAAAAATTATAATAGTCTATTAAGTGTGTGACAGCATATGTATATACCTTAATTAAAAAATACCTTATTGCTAAAAAATGCTAACCATCATCTAAGCTTTCAGTGAGTTGTAATCACTGATCATGGATCACCATAACAAATAATGAAAAAATTTGAAATTATCATGGGAATTACCAAACAGACTTGCTCGCTGCACAGTTGCCACAAACCTTCAATTTGTATAAAAAAACAAACACGTGGTTATCCGTGAATCATAATAAAACAAGGTATGCCTATACATAAAAAGAATTATAGACCATGGCCAAATGGGGTTTAATTTAGAAATAACCAGGCAGGTTTAATATTCAAAAATTAAGTAATGTAATTCATAATATTAAGAGGTTAAAGAAGTTACATGATCATATCAATCAATGCAGAAAGGGCAATGAAAATTCAATAGCGCATCCATGACAAAACCGATCAAACTAGGAATAGAAGGAAACTTCTTTATCTTGATAAAGAATATAAACCAAAAACCTAGAGCTAACATTTAGGTGGTGAAAGACTGAATGCTTTCCTCAGAATTCTGGGGAAAAGGCAAATATGCCAGCTCTCATTATTACTCTTATACAACACTGGGCTGGAACTTCAAGCCAGGGCAGTTAAGAAAAGGAAGAAAACCTGCCCCGATTTGCAGATGACATGATTGTGCAAGTGGCTGGCCTATTTGATTACTTCACCATATTAGAAAAAGGATTCTCAAATTTTTGCTTTTGCCTTTGTTAGTGTACCTGAAATGCCCAAACAAACCAAAAAATCCTTTTCAAATGTTTGACATTCTTCCTAAAATAATTTTCTCACATTTTGCATACTGTTCATCGAGGTGGGTCTTAAATTTATTATGTACAATAAACACAAATGTTCCAACTATCAGAAGGGTAATATATCACAGATTCTGGAGACCCCTGCCAAGACTGGTATCTTGACTCTGCCTCTAACTGTACTGTCACCGTGAACAAGTTTCTTAACTTGTCTGCTCAATTCAATTTCCTCAATTATATAATGCTGATCACCAGTACTTACCTCAAAATGTGAAAACATGTGCAAATGAGAATAGCATCTGATGTATAAGAGCTCAGTAAATGTCAGTTACTCCTATTATTGCAGATCTGTGAAATAAATGTCCTCATTTCCCCTTCATGTCTTCTTCTAGTCAAAGAACATGACTCACAAAAATTTAATGTTTGAGGATTTTCATCCAAGAGCAAGATTTGACAAAAATTAGGGAAGCAAACATACAGAAAATTTGCAGTAAAGAAAATTGGTTCATATGGCAAAATATTCAACCTCACAAGTTGTTGAGAAAGTGCTAGTTAAAACAGCAATGAAGTACCATTTTATAACTAACAAATCAGAAGTAATAAAACTAATAGCCAGTGCTGACTGGGTTGTGGTCAACAGGTACGTGACCTTGCTGCAAGTGTGAACTGACTGGCAAACAATATGCAATGCATTTGAGAGGAAATAAACTCCTGTCTGTCTCATATGTGGTATTAGACCTCCTGTACTTCAGCATTTACAGCTTTGTCTCCCTCTCCTCCCACAATGGACAAGAACTAATTCCAGATTCAATCCTTTCCGATGTGTTATCTGACATGAGAAGGAAGGATGAGAAATGTTAAAGCCAAGGCCAAGAACTATAAGCATATATAGGGGAAGGATAACATAAAGGAACTAATAAGACTCAAGTATCAAGAAGGGATGTGGGGCCAAAATAACACACTCAAGATGGGATTAGATCATATGAGAGCTTTCAAGATTCAAAGTTTGGAGACACTGCTCTGGCGATGTACCTAGAGATAATAGGACCTACATACAGTAATCTTATGGCGGGTGGTAGTGCTTCTTTTGAGTTCTTAAAGGAAATTCAACCTTGGGCGCCTGGGTGGCTCAGATGGTTAAGCGTCTGCCTTCCGCTCAGGTCATGATCCCAGGGTCCTGGGATCAAGTCCCGCATCAGGCTCCCTGCTCCTTGGGAGCCTGCTTCTCCCTCTGCTTCTCTCTCTCTCTCTCCCTCTCTCTCTCCCTCCCTCTGTCTCATGAATAAATAAATAAAATCTTTAAAAAAAAAAAAAAGGAAATTCAACCTTTTGAACTGGAAAGCAGAAGACACTAAGAAATATAAAAAAATCAACAAATTTTGAGTTCTTTTGGTAAAATAGATGGATCTTTTTATAAATGTATCAGAATGAAGGAAAAATAAATACATTCTCATTCACCAATAGATTGTACTGATTGGACTATGAAAAGCCCGACAAAAATCTCTGAAAACAGGAGACTTCAGATAAACGTGGAGGGCAGCATGCAACAGACCTCCCAGACTTCTATTAAAAACCGGTGAAGACTTTTGAAAAACTTAAGATTGCACAGACCAATTACTAAGCATATAGAAACATGATATCCAAACATGACTGAGTCTACATCAGGGCTCTGGCATTGTATCTTCACAGAACTAACCACAAACAGCTCCTGCATGCCTAACAGCGTCCTTTGTGTTCCCATTGTTGGTCCAGATACTTGCTTTATAAGTCTTCCTTACCTAAATGACTTTCTTAACAACAGAAAACACACTAATATTACCTTAGGAATTAAACGAATTAAAAGCTGACTATCAGCTATATTTATCCTATAATTTCATCTGTTTCTTTGATTTTTTAGAATTTACCACCAACCATGTATCTCAGGCTCCCCAATATATATATATATATATGAGAACTGTGTAAGAAAAAAGCATTTGAGGACATGCATAAAATCACAATCACAGTAATTGGACCACAGTTACATTAATTAAGAAGAGAGGAATCTATACTCATTTATAAGAGATTACATAAAGGAAGAGAAGATATGGGTTAGGTAACAAAACATTACATCTTTACATAAATAAGTAAAGCCAAAGTTCTTTGTTTAAAAAACAGGTCAAGGTGAAGGAGTAAATTTGTACTTTTAACTTCCAGATGTGGTCATTTGGGTCCTTTTGCCTTGGATGTGGTTTCTTTTGGAATCTTTCCATTTTGACACTGAGTAAATCTGGCTACCGTAGAAACACCATCCACAAACTTGGTTTTGAAAAGGACATTTGCATTGTTGAACATACCCTCCTTCAGTGACACCACAATGAACTTAAGGGAAAAAGAGAAAACATAAAAGATACTTTTTGTAATCTGAAGAAATGCACTCCTGTTTTTATTCTGGGGTTAAGAACTGTCTGGAGATACGCTGATTTTGTTATTTCTTTCAAAGCTTGGCTCAAAGCAAATGCACCATCCTCAAATGCAAGTAACAAACAGTTCTAATATTGGGCACCTAGATGAATTCTAGCTTTCTAAATTTGGTTTTAGGAGTCTCTTAATTTTACCTGGAGTGCGTCATTACCCAGGTTTACTAATTCCTGCTGCTTGACTGCTTGTTGCTGTCCTCTGCAGCTAGCTGGCATCACTGTTTTGCTGCTAGCTCTAAATGCCCTGCTGAAATAGCTTTCTCTCTGAAATTTTAAGAGTATCAAAGAAGGCTACTAGTTCCTACAAGCACTACCACTAGCTCAAATGGAACATTTACAGAATTAAGGAAGGGTACCACTTCACTGTTACCTGCTAAAAAGACTACCATAATAATATAGTCTGTGATAACTACGATAAGTGAAGCCCCCCGGAGTCGTATGTTGCATTCTCAATATAACCAAATGTGGCAGCCCCGGTTCCTGCAGCAACAGTTCAATAAAAACAAACTGTTCTTAAATAAAGGGGCTTTTCTCTATTTCCTACCCAGGAAAAATGATGAGTGCCCCCATCAAGTACCACATGATTTTCTGATTTCCTAAAGCAGTCTTGCTTTGGTTGTGTATTCTCTGGCAGCTAGCTAGAGAAAAAAATAATGTTAACCATAAATTAATTCCAAATTATGGAAAACTTACGAGATGTCCATAATTCCAACTTATGGAAAACATGATATTCTCCCTCAGGGTACAACCAACAGTGGTAACGCCTGGCTCTTTAATAGGAAACCAAACCTTTTTTCCTTCTATATCCATTTGAATGTAAGTATATGTAAATATTCACTATATATTTAAAGAGATACACAATGCTTTAATATTTCTCAATCCTAAATATCTTCATATTAGCCATTACTGAAGAATAGTTTCCGAAGAACAAATAACTAAAACTATCCCGGAGACGTTTTTTCTGGTTCTTACCTGAGAATGTGTGAAATGAGTACGCAGCATCTGTCCAATATTCTGGGTGTGAGAAAGGTCCAAGGCTGCATCTACCTCATCCAGGATATATATTGGAGCAGGTTTGAAGAGGAGCATGGATAATATTAATGACAAAGCTACTAACGACCTGCAAAAAAGACCGAAAGAGAAGTTATCAAAACTTGATTTTACCACTCTTCACCAAAACACTAAAGCAAATCTGCTATCCTCTTATTATGGAATAGTGCAGATTTAACTGAAAGATCACCATAGAAATAAAGAATCTTAAGTTTCAAACGTCAACATTTTTGCTGTATTAAAATGGTCTCTTATTTTGGCTTTTCCTTTTTTCTCTTCAATGGAGTTTTATTTTGAACAGGTTTATATTCTTTCCAATCAAAGAATCAGGATAATTGGCACTTATTCTTAAGGAAAGATCATGTTAAGTATTCTCTTTCCTTCCCCAATTGCTGTTAGATGCCTAGGTAGCAGGTGAGTGAGGGCTATATACTTACTGATTAAGACAACAGCTACTGCTTGGTGATACTGTAACTGGTTTAGGCCCTCTTTCAAACTTTTACTATGCATGCATCTATGAGTACATACACACACACACACACACATTTTTATTGGCACCATTTAAGAGTAAGTTAAGTTGTATAGATTATAGCCCATTACTTCCCAGTGTCATTAGTTCAAACAATTATTATGTGATGGTTAATTTTGTGTGTCAACTTATTTGGATCACGGAGTACTCAAATATTTGGCTGAACTTTATTTCTGGGTTTGTGTGTGAGGGTATTTCTGGGTGAAATTTGCATTTGAATTGGAAGACTCAGTAAAGCAGTTTGTCCTCTCCAATGTGGGTGGACATCACACAGTTTGCTGAAGGACTCAATATTAAGAAAGGTAGAGGAAAGAATTTGTTCTTTCCTGCCTCGTTACTTGAACTGGGACATGGATATTCTGCCTCAAGTGTTCCTGGTTCTCAGGCCTTCACACCCAGACTGAATTACACTACTGGTCCTCCCAGACTTCCAGCTTGCAGACAACAAACCGTGGGACTTCTCAGTCTCCACAATAAGATGAGCCAATTCCTTATTATAAAACCACCTCTTCATACACAGACACACCCTACTGGTTCTGTTTCTCCAGAGAACCCTAATAATAAACCTTATTTAAAATTTGTAGTTGGGCATCTCAGATTCTATAGGTCTTTTTCAGTTCTCTTCTCGCTAACCATCCCCTGTAACTGTAGCTGGTTTTGTTCAGAATCATAATAATTCTTATATTTTTTCTTAAACATTTTATTTAAAAAAGCCTTTTTTTTTTTAAGGTGAAACCAAAATATCTAGCAAGGGAAATGTATGAAACAGTACAAAAAACAGTGAGATTGACTCTACCTCAAGAGAGGGGAGCTGAGGTCATTCAAGCAACCTAAAATTATTTTTCATTGGCCTTCTCTGTGCCAAATGCTTACGGCACTGAGCTTTCTTCCAACTTAATCTTTCAGAAAAAAAATATCTCACCAAGAGTTAAAACTACTGTGCTGGATATACATCTAAAATAATGGTACATATCTAAAAATAATTTTGTATCTTAATTATGGAAATAATTCTCAGGTCCCAATAAGAAAATAAGCATACATTTTAGGTTTTCCTCAAAATATTTTCTAGGGCTTTGGCAAAAAAAGTCAGATACTGGGATCTGAACTCTGGAATTCAATTTTAACAGTCACCAGAATGTATCTTATACTGTTAAAATATTTAGGAATCTTATAATGAAATAAATCAAGGGACCACTATTCTAGTTATAAAAATGACAAAGGATTTCACAAGGAAAATTAACAGGTCTTAGTATTTTCTACATATGTAAGAGTAACATGATGGCATCATATGGCACATGAGAACAATTTAAAGACTAGGATTGCACATCCTGAAAGGGAAAAATAAAAAATTAATAACCATCTTTAATGTGAATATTCACAATTTTCTCTTAGTAGGTTTTAATAATTTGGTTCTCTACAGCAGGTTAAGGAGGGAGGCCACATGACCTCTTAAGTTTCTCCTTAGTATGCTGATTATCTGAATTCATTCCTTTATGTAGATCCAAGTTTCCTTCTGGTAAATCCTTTTCCTTTCACCTGAAAACTTCCTTTAACTTGTACAGTTCTGCTGGGATCAAACTCCTCTAGCTTTTGCTTTTCTGAAAAAAATATTTATATTGACTTCAATTTAAAGACTAGTTCGATTAGACATAGAATTCTTGGTTGACATGTTTTTCTTTTAGCACTTTCTAGATGTTGTTCCAGACTTCTGGCTTCCACAGTTTTGACAATAAGCCCGAAGCCATTTTTATCTTTGTCCCTTGGCTGCTTTAATATTTTTCTAATCATTGGCATATAAAAACCACAATTTCATATAATGTGCTTTGCTGTGTTATTGTATGTATGTGGGGGGGCAGGGGATGGTTTATCCTAGTGAGGGTTCACAGAAATGAAGATTGTGGGTTTATAGAACTCATCCAATTGGGAAAATCTTATTTTTTATTTCAAGTATTTTTCTGTTTTGCCTCTTCCTTTCTTTTTGGAACTCCAAATACATGTATGTTAGACGGCTTGATGGTCACTGAAGCTCTGTTTTTATAGTTTTGTGTTTCTCAGTTTAGCTTTAATAGTTTCTATTTGCTGTGCCTTCAAAGTCATTCATATTTCTTTTACACTGTCTAATCTGTTAATGTCATGTGGTGAACTTTTCCTTTCAGGCATATTTTTTTATCTCCAGAAATTCTACTAGGTTCTTTTTCCCCTGTAATTCTTGGAAATAACTAACATAATTCTATAACTTCCTTGTCTCCTATTTTTATCACATGTCATTTCTGGATGTTTCCATTGAATAATTTTTCTCTAGGCTATAAGTCACATTTTCTTGATGTCTGTCCAGTGCTTTTTATCAGATGCCAGACACTGTGTTATGTTAGAGTCTCAAGTTACATGAGGATCAGCTTGCTCTCTTCAGGGTATGTGATGAACTCTGCTGTGTATGTAGAGTAGTTTTCACTTCGGGAACAGTACAGACTGAATGCTAAGCGGGGGCCTCCCAAAATTCTAATCTGTTTCTTTAATTTGGTAAGACTACTAGGCTTCGTATGGATTCCCCTCCCTGTACCTGCAAACCAGAAATTCTCCTACGGAGAAAGCTGGGGTGAACACTGAGCTCAGCACTTTTGTTTCATTGCTCTCAGGTATCATATTCTTGGCCTATTCATTTCCCAAAGTCTGAAAACAGTTGTTTTTCATATATTATCTAGTTTTCTAATCGCTTATCCTTATTTCTCCTTTGTTGCCTACTATCTTAAAGGTTTATTTATTTATTTGAGAGAGAGCACACACATGCAAGCGGGCGGAGAGGGAGAGAATCCCAAGCAGACTCCCAACTGAGCGTGGAGCCCAATGTGAGGCTCAATCCCATGACCCTGAGATCATGACCTGAGCCGAAGTCAGGTGTTGGACGCTCAACCAAGCCATCCAGGCGCCCCTGTTGCCTACTATTTTAATCAAATGTTCTTAAAAAAAATCTGCAGTCTTACATATTAAGCTCCTTAAATTCTACGTGTAAAGATTACCTAATTTTCAATTTTGTTTTGCTTAGCTGAGATCATGATGGATTATAATACACTTAAGAGGGATGAGTAATTATAATACTGCAAAGGATTACTTACCTCTGACCACCACTAAGTTCGGTTAGGTTTTCTTTCCAAGTATTTCCTAAAGCAACCTTAAACTCCAGACCATCCAATACAGTTTGCCCCTCTGGTGGTGCAAGCATAGCATTAGCACCAGGCAAAAGAGTAGAAAAAATAGACCCAAAGTCCTTGTTCACCTGGATTTAAAAAAAAAGATTAAAATATTATAGAAAGCTTTCCAAGAATAATCAAATGTTGGTATGTATATATTCAATCTAGCAGATGCATTTTGTTGTCTGTTACTAACTCAGGTTTTGACATATGGCCCATGTGACAAATCTGGCCATGCCCATTCATTTAAATATTGTCTATGGCTGTTAGCACTAAAACAGTAGTCTAGTAATTGCAACAGAGACTATATGGCTCACAAAGCCAGAAATATTTATTACCTGCCCCTTTACACAAAAAATTTACTGAGCTCTGCTCTAACTTCCAAGGGGAACTAAAGGCTATACTTCTAACTCTACCCTGGAATTCTGATACTTCTGTAAGCTGTATTATAGGAATCTTCAGAGACACACAACTGTATCATATAGGAAACTGAAGTTGCAGTTGGGAGAGGCAGAAAAGAAAAACTCTTTTTTGGCATAAAATATTCTCTTATAAAACTTGTTTTCTTTTGACTGTTTTGATAGGCCAGTGGTTATCAGCCAACCTTAAAAAGCCTAAGATCAAGGTGAAGTCTAGGAAAAAAAGATGCATGAAATCAAACCACCAGATCTGTTCGAGGTGTTGAATGGTCCTTTTCTGTAGGCTTCTTCTCAGCCAAAGAAGTTGTCAAAAGACAGGAACAGGACTGGACCCCAACAGAAAAAGGCTAAAGAAACTGTCTGGTTTATCCCCATTAAGCCACAGATTACCTAGAGATTTAGGTCAATATTTGAATTGTAATTGGGTAATTTCTGTGCATACACACTTGATCAATGATTTGAGAATTTGGTCATCTGTCTTCAAATACACAACTAATAATCTTAGAGTTCATCAAATTTGAGTGTGTACATTCACAGACACAAACCCATGAGGATCTGACAGTCATGTTCTCCAGAGAAATCCCCAAATTCAAGTGCATGAATATTGGTACTAATGAGATCCAGGTACAATCAATCAGTGCTACTGAATACAGATGTATTAAGGAATACAGTTTTAAGAGCAATTGCATTACATGCTGAGTAATATTCTACACAGAGTTAATAGGTTTTAGTTTTATCTGGGATAGATTTCTAGGGCTAGGTGAGGTTCATCACAATGGAGAGGACCACTGTCTTTTTTGGGAATGATAAAGACAGCAGCGTTTATCAACACCTTTGGTTCTTTTTCTTAAATTTTTTGGCCAGGCAAGAGAAAAGCACTGAACAGAGGATTAAAACAGTAGACTACTACTAAACCCTTAACATGACCATGGATACCATGTGGAAACTCCTCCAAAGGGTAAAAGAGAAACTTATCAGTTAATGGGCAGAAAGAATATAGCCCTATTCAAGATAGAAAATGCACTACATTCATGGACAGACATAAAGGTGAAATGCAATCAAATTCTGAAAATCCAATACGTTAAGAAGGAAACAGAAAAATAAACATAGCCAATGCCGAAAATACTCTGGCTTTCTGAATGAAGTGTGCTGGAAGCCAGAAGGAAATATATAATGCTGATAATAACACTACTACCTCAATAGGTTATTGTGAGGATTAAATGAGAAAATTAATATGAGAATGGTACCTGACATATAATAAGTATTCAATAAATTTACCTGCTTTGAGAGAACCTTGGAAATTGGGGGAACATCAATTTAAAGGATAAATCTGTACTGGCACTAAGTCCAGGAACCACGGGGGAAAACAAGAGACAAAACCTCTCAGATCCAGTGTTAAGTCCACATTTATACAAGAATAATGGGACCAACTTTTTGCATGTATTTTAAAATAAACACCACAGAGAGATGAACACTGAAAATAAGTTATAGAGTAGTAAAAACAAGGTGACTGAAAGGGATAATTATGCTGCCATTACTGAAAATGAAGTTTTCAGAATTATGAATAATTACAGAATTAAAAAGCAAAAAAGAAGCAAGGTGCCCAATTAAATCCCAGAGGCATGGGACTGTTGAAGTACCAAACAGCACAGTAACTATGTTTGGAATCTTTTGGCTGAGAGTCTTTTGCTAGGACAGATACAGGAAAACTTCCACATAAGAGGCTAAGGAATTATCCTACAGGAGACAAATACACGCAGTCAGGGAAGTACAAATAATAGTAAAGAATCTTGAAATCTGCCAAAGTTGTCATAAGATAAAACAAAAAAGGCACTTAGGATTTTGCTGAATGACAGTCCAGTGAAAGAGAATTCTAAACTTCCTTGCTTACTGCCCATTTTTTTAAGGGCAACAAGGGCGACAGCAGTTAGCAACTAAAGGCAATTTTAACTTTGGTTCTAATTTAGATAAAAGAATTCCAGTTTTTCCACCTTTGGCTATATGATCTTAGGCTATTTCAACTTTCTAGGCTTTGATTTCTTCATCTATAAAATATGGATGGCTAACTATCAGTTATGGAATTGTTAATTTAACGTACAAAATGCTTTGCTAAAAACCTACAGAATGCATAATTATGAATTCTGAAATGCAATTAATAACTTGTAAGTGGTAAGGAATATGCCAATCTTGTTAGAGTAATGTTCTGAGAGAAGGAATATTTGAACTCCGTGAGCCTGGGCCAGAGAAACCAAGGAAGTTAGAACCAAAGGGGTCCTTGGGAGGTGCTTTCCAACAATCAGAGCTTCCCCGGTGCAAAACTGAGACTGCTTCCAGCTTCCCAGCGGTGGGGTATGGCAGAAATTGGACAGAATCTAAGGTTTCAGACAAATGGTATCTCCTTTGAAAGTAGCACAGATGTGGAAACAAGGTTAAGAATGAAAATAAAGAAATCTAGAAAGTTAGAAATTTAATATAACTTAGGAACCAGAGAAGTAGACTGTGAGAGTATGATGGAGAGACACAAATTTACCTTTGCAAATTGGTAGCAGTCAAGTCTAGAAGGTTTTAATTAAAGCATGAGTGTGTGCAAATCATCCATTTTAAATTCATCTCAGTGTATGAACCTACTGACCATTCTTCATCCTTTCCTCATATAGAATAAATGATAATATTTTTGGTTCAAATACCTTTTGCCAAGCAATATTTAGGGCTTGGTTTTTCTTCTGGTCAAGGTCTTCTATAGTTGCAAGGATTTTGGATTTGTCATTTTCTACAATTCTCTTCTTCTTCATCAAGTCATTATACTAGTAAGATAAAAAGCATACTTAATTGGAAAAATATAAAATTTTCTTTATATTCTAGAATTCAGTCAGGATTAGAGGTTTAATTTTTATATATAATATGTACACTCCTGTGTAACAGAAAGATATACTGCATTAAGAGTTATAATGTAAACCAAATCATGAAAGTAAATATATCACCTATAGGTAAAATTTAGTTGCTATTGAGAATTTATAGGACAAGCTCCACCAGATCTTTCTAGCAGCCAAGGCAAAAAAGAAAAATGTGTCATATGTAAACTCAAAAGTAGCCCTGGCATGCTTTCTTCTTAAGGGCAGTTTTAGCAGTGACACAAAAGTTCAATTCCTCATCATGATGTATGATGAGTCCTACAGAATTGGGCCCTTACTTATCTGACTTTTTGGCATCCCACTCCTCCCCAGGCTCCAGCCATATGGTCTTTTTTTCAGTTCCTTGAACATAATAAGCTCACTACAGCCTTCTAGCCCCTGCATAGTTCTCTCTTCCCGGAATGCTCTTTCTCTGTATCTGACATAATTGGTGCCTCAAGTTTCAGCTCAAACATCACATCTTCAGAGTGGTCTTTTCCTGGTGAATGTAGAAACTCGCTGAAAAAAACTTGAGGGAGGCTGCAGAGGGATAATTACACCATGAGTAGCAGCAGAACTTTCTAAAAATCCTCTTAACTCATTTCTCCTCAAAGCTTCAAAGGAGGCTTCAAATTCTCCCTGAAAAGTTCTAGACAGTCCTGCTCCCTTCCTTGCTGTCTCTCTGCTTAATGGCCAAGCTCCTAAAACGCCTCTCTACAATTTTCTCTTATTCCTTCATAATTCCATGTTGTTTCTTATTTGGACAAACACAAAATACAACAAAACAAAAGGCCATCTTAACGACAGAGCCTTTCCTTCTGGTAAGGAAATGGGAGTTGGAGAATTCTTTTAAAAAATATTAGACCAGTTATCATTATCTAATAAAAGCAAACAAGTGAATAAGTTTCACGATATGCAGTTCAAATTCAGACCAAAGATTTTCCTCCACAAATATGGCATATATTGCAAAGCTTTAATGGAGAAATAAAAACCAGCAGGAACATTTTATGGATAGATCACAGCATGAGCGTTATTAGCCTATTTGGTATCTAACATAATATATATTCTTTGTAGACACTAATGTCAATAACAATTACAAAAAACCCCATTATAGCAAAACTTCTTAAAAGTAATTGAGCTCATAAGTATTACCACTTTTACAGAGCTCTCATAACTCTGATACAAATTCAAACAGAATTTTGCAAAATTAAAGGTGGTACAAGGCATAACAAAATTACTCAGACAGCTATTTCCTATGGAGCTGTCAAGAATACGGATTGCTTTCCTCTGTGCATTTTTCTAGTAACATGGCAGACTATAAAAGTTTTGTCAGGGTTGGGGAGATGGATAACATTATCAAGTAAGTGAGCATTAAAACAGAAGATGCTGCTGGACTTACAGATTAATAGAGGAGTGGTTATGCATCTAACAGTATTAGCCATTACTTAGGTAATGGTTCTAGTATGCCCTAGAGTCAAAAGGAAGACAACAGTTATGGAATGACTGGTAAGGAGGCAGACCGAAGAGTATACCTTGTTTTTCAAAGCCCTTTCAAGGCAAGTGAAAGAAAGGATAGAAACGTGAAAAGTTAACTAGAACAGAAAGAATTTTTATTTACACCAAGAATAAGAAAAGGGTAGAATATGTTTGTGGCAAAGCCAATAGAAAAGTTACTCAAGGTACAACAGAATATATAAATAATTGATGATGCAAAACAATGAAGTAAGAAAGAACCGAAAAATGGAAAATAGAAAGAAATTCGGTATCAAGGGCATCAAGCAACATATTTCCTCTAGTACTTGTTGCCGGGGTCCTAGACAGCCATTGAAGCTACTTGGGTGGCCAGTCCAAGGAAAAGGACTTACCCGCTCTTCAGCTTCTGTCAGAACATTCATAGCTCTCATGTTGACATTTCTCCCCAGTTTCTCTTTCATTTCTTGCAACTTCTGAAGTCTCTGACCAGCTTCTTTTGGGTTGTTGGTTTTGAAATCATAGGCACTATTAGGTTGCCCAAAGAGGTGTTTCTCTGCATTAATCCAGTCATAGTCTTTCAACATTTTGGCGACCTAGCCACAGAGGATAATAGAAGCATCTATCATTGTTTACAAACGGACAGTTTCTTGGGGCGCGTGGGTGGCTCAATTGATTGAGCCTCTTGGTTTTGGGTCAGGTCATGATCTCAGGGTCCTGGGCTCTGAGCTCAGCAGGGAGTCGGCTTGAGGATTCTCTCCCTCTCCCTCTGCCCCTACCCCTGCTGGTGCTCTCTCAAATCTTAAAAAAAAAGTTTCTTAAATATTTAGTAATTTTAAATCAATGACTCATTTGTAAAAATGAGGATCACTGTGAACAGTAAACCTACACTAAGTATGATATTTTTACCTGGAGGATAGGCTCAAAAAAAAAAGATCTTCCCATTACTTAAGCACTGGAAGAAGAGCCAGCCAGCTCAAATTTATACAAAGTATATGTAAAACACCTCTGTTAGAATGAAATGTAAGTCAGATAAAGCTCCTTCACATTTTACCAAACTCAATCAATTGCTTCAAAAACAACTTGTGAAAGTTAAAATTCTTATAGAAATACTTAAGTCATAGATTTGGTAAATTTATGGAAGCCTAATCCTGACTGACAATTCTGAGGAGAATTATTAAATAAAAAACTCCCTAAACATTGACTCCATTCCCTTAGTCGCTCCCTTTTAACAAGGCACAGTAATGTACTTTATATAATATAAACAGTTAAAAATTTTAAATTATAGTGCTTAAGGAAGACTTTCTTCTACTAAAATTGTTTAAGGTTGGTTCCGACTGGTAGAATCGAATCCTTGTCCATTTGTCCTTATTAATTCCGTGGGTACGGTCTCACCTCCAGGCTCCAAAGAGGATCCTTTCCAGTCAGCCTTCTCTGATGATCCAAAGCTCTATGAAGGCATTCTGGGTACATGTTGCTTATCCTTATCTTCAGGGCCTGGCTACTATCTGATACTACTTGGTATGCAATAAATATTTGATAAACTATATACTTTAAAGAATCCTTGACTTTTTAGCAGTTCCACTTGTGAGTCTCCTTTTCACTTCCCTAACTGTAAATAAAATCCCCCAGCAATCACCACTACTGGCATTTTCAATTACAAAAAACTATTAACAATATTAACATTGGTAATATTTCAGTGAATCCACTAATATTAGGCTACCAGGCTAATGGGAAATCAACAATAAAATATTAGGATATTAATGATGTGGCTATGAAAATATTTATATTTTTTAAATTAAGTAATGAACCTGAACAGGCACACCAGGCTCTTTCAGAGGGTAGGGTGACTGTTTTGTATGTTCTGACTTTTTTTGAAGTTAAATGTCTTCTACTTTTAAGGTGCTAAAGAAGACTTAAAAGGCACCAAACTGTTACACAGTTTAGAAGACTAAGACTTCATGGGTACAGCCTCTTAACCAAGCAATGAATTTCTGCAAAAGCATGTATTCTCTTTAAAGTACTTAAGACACTGTGATACATAGAAGGAAGAAACTTTTTAAGAGTGACCAAAAACTGAGATAACCTCAAAAAGCTGCTTAGCAAAACATCAGATTTCAGGGGCGCCTGGGTGGCTCAGTAGTTAAGTGTCTGCCTTCAGCTCAGGTTGTGATCCCGGAGTCCTGGGATCGAGCCCTCCATCGGGCTCCCTGCTCTACAGGAAGCCTGCTTCTCCCTCTCCCACTCCCCCTGCTTGTGTTCCCTCTCTTGCTGTATCTCTGTCAAATAAATAAAAATCCTTTAAAAAAAAAAAAAATCAGATTTCAGATGAGGCTGCAAAATTGACTGTACAGATCCTCACAAGGACATCTGGAAGCCAATTAAGTCCTTATTTTAGAAGTTGCCTGTATATATATTTCTCTGAGTTTTTAATTCATTTTGAAATAAGATAATATATATTACTATTAATATATTAATAGTTCTATGAATATTTGGGTATTAAAAAATGGTCAGTTCCATGGGAGACCACTATTCAGTAAAACATCTTGGAGCTAGGAATACCTGAAATTTAGAAATAAAACATTTATGCCATTTGGTGAAAATGAACATTGCTGAGAAGCCGTTAAAATAGCTATAAGCCTCAAAATTATGTTACACAGTAGTTCTGCCATTTTACTGAATTCTTCATTGAGCAGTTTACCAGAATATTTCAACAACTCAGAAGTAAAAATCTGATTATGGGTAAAAATAAACAACACAAACGTGCCTTTGCAGCAGCATCTTCAGCTTCCCGTTTATGTTTGCTGATGTTGTGGTCCAGTTCCTTAATTTTAAGCTGAGAATCATTGTTTTGTTCCTTATGTGTTGCTACTTCGCCATATTTAGCTTTAATTACATTGTCTTGGGCTGTTATCACTTCTTTTTGCTTGGTCACCTCTTCTTGGGCTTTATTTACAGACTCCTGAAACATAATTTGAAGACAACATATAGCAAGGTAATATGGACATATTTTTAGTTTATTAAAACATCATCTAACAAATTTTAGGGCAAGATGGGAATGTGATTACAGGCAGATGGTCACCTAACCCTCTACATTTCATATCCCCATTAAAATGGCTAATTTACATACAGGAGAAAACTTGTTTTACCAGTAGAAATAAGATGTGATGCAGCGTTCATGCTGGAAGCAACAAAGTTTCTGCTGGATACAGTGTAGTTAGGATCAACTTGCAGAGGGAAGGAGAGACTATAGGAATCTGACTTTTGAGGTCTCAGAAAAGTGGCATTTTTTGGTACTTAATGAGAAGATAATATGACAGATCCCCAAATATCATTTACCAGGAGGGGTAGAATGTGGGCTGGGGCTTTCTACTTTTCCCTTCTATAGTTATAAGCCATATTTACCAGTGACAATGGAAGGTCATAATGTTTGGTTCTAGCACAAGGGTCAAAACAGAAAAATTCTAAGAGAAACTTTCTGAATAAATAGATCTGTGGCACAAAGAAAAACTTTCTTGCTTTGACTTTTATTATTCCCTACTTCCCAAGGTTGAAACTACTCAATCTCCAAAGTGGTAATTGTAACTGCAATTCAGTCTATCACTAACCCCCTGCCCTGCAAACCCCTTTCTAGCACAAGGGTCAAAACAGAAAAATAAAAGAGAAACTTTCTAAATAAATAGATCTGTGGCACAAAGAAAAACTTTCTTGCTTTGACTTTTATTATTCCCTACTTCCCAAGGTTGAAACTACTCAATCTCCAAAGTGGTAATTATAACTGCAGTTCAGTCTATCACTAATCCCCTGCCCCGCAAACCCCTTTGCTTCATCCTAGATCTTAAAAGAACTCACACAAATATCTAAACCAAAAAAAACCTAGTTCAACTCATATTTAGGTAGGGGGAAAACCGAAGTAAGACAACTTGCTACAAGCATCTGAGGAAGAACGGTTCTTCATGATGAAAAGCACAAATAAAAAATTTAGCAATATTTTAGGCATGCTCATTAGGAAATTATCATTTTGAGCAACAAAGAATACTTAATGTTATGGTTAGGTTATTGAATGTTCTCAAAGTGCTTTAAATTCCTTATAATTTTTAAACTGTGTCATTAGAGGGTCTTTTGAGAAAGGAAAATAAATCATGGCATTCATATAAAAACTTAAAGATATTTTAGCCTTTTGAAACCTTTGAAGAACAAGAAAAGCAAGTGAAAAATACTCTGGTGATATTAACCAAAGGGAAAAATAACAGACACAGGTTTATTAACTAACACCATATGTAAAAAAAAACCACATTTATGAAGATTCTCTCACGGCTACAGGTTAAAAATTGCATTGCAGGGGCACCTGGGTGGCTCAGTAGGTTAAGCGTCTGCCTTTGGCTCAGGTCATGATCCCAGTGTCCTGGGATCGAGCCCTGTATTGGGTTCCCTGCTCCGTGGGGAGCCTGCTTCTCCCTCTCTCACTGTAGCTACCCCTGCTTGTGCTTGCTTTCTCTCAAATAATAAAATCCTTAAAAAAAAATTGCATTGCAGTTTTGACTATTTTAATCTTTTTTATAATAGAAATCTGTCACTAAGGTTGAGCAAAAATGAAATTTTAGTTTTGTCTAGTTATAGGCAGTTTCTTTTCTTAGACTCCTGGGAGTGTCCTTTGATACTCTCATCAAGGAAAGGAAACAATTTAGAATGCAGAGCCTGAAAGAACAACCTTTAAAAACTAAGTGATCCATTTTATACTTTCCCATAAAGAGAAATGGAAATAGGTACATGTTCTAACTTTGACTTTATTTAGATTGAGAATGGAGTACCTAATTATTTATTTTCACATTTACTTTTGGAAACACGTATCTAATTTTTAAATTCTACATGAAAAATATGAGATTAAGACAACAAATCAGAAAAAAACTGAAGATACTTTTAAAAAACTAAAATTTACTTTGGAGGCAAAATAGAAACTGAACAGAAACTAGAAAATTTAATCAGCAACACAAAACACAAAGCTGAGAAGCATTTTGATCTAATTTCAAAAAAAGAGTAAAAACTGTTATTCTAGTGATTTGCCAATGTGTTACAAACAAAAAAACTTGAATTTAGCCAAGAAGAGAATCAAGAGGAAAGACCTACTTTCCAAAATACCACATACTACAACATTAAAACAATCATTTCAAAGGAAAAACATAAAAGAAAATGTAGAAGTAGATGACACAAGTAAGGCAAAAACACCATAATGAATGTCAAATGAATGCAACTCCCTTTTTGAAAGCTATCTACATTCAGTTAAAATGAAAATCAAGGATATTTACTGATAGTATCAATAGCAACATGACAGAAAACTTTAATAGCATGGTGACTATCATGATACCGTACTGTATATTTAAAAGTTGCTGAGAGAGCAGATTTTAACAGTTCTGATCACAAGAAAAAAAATTATAACTGTGTGGTGACAGATGTTAACTAGACTCACTGGGGTGGTCATTTTGCAACATATACAAATAAATCATTATGCTGTACCCTTGAAACTAATACATATCAATTATACCTCAATATGAAACAAAACAATTCAAAGTCAAAAAGGGACAAGAGAGTAGCCAATATTCAGGAGGGACAATCTCTAATAAAGACATACAACAATATGAATTTGCAGGTGACAGAATGTCTAACATGGGAAATCCCCTCAGCCCTAAATCCTTTACTTCCCCGCTTCTGATATCAGAACATTTCTCCCCCACCAGCAGCAACTATATATAGTCAGCCTCACCAGTAAAGGATGCTGTAGGGAAACTGTAGAAAGAGGTTTTACATCCCGGTTCTGGCGTGCTTTTCTCAAAAGCAAGTTTGTCATGTGCCAGGGCTAGCAGCTTGCATGGCTGTACCAACATCAAGCGGGGGGCCAGGGGGAGGGGAGGGAGAGGAGAGCGGGGCTTTGCAGCATGTTCCTATGGCCAATGCTCCCCGGCATCCCATGTGGCATTTCAAACTTCACCACCAGGGGGCCACAGTTATGTCTTCTCCAACTAGATCTGGTTTGCAGCCCTACAAAGTTAAATGAGGCTCTTTGCCAGATTTGTTCCTTCCATGGGTGCACTTCCTCAGCCCTACTCCCCATATCTGCTGCTCCTATATCATTTGGCATTCTCTTTACTCTTTAGGGATCAAGCACACATCATTCCAAACTCCTATGTAGTCAGTTTTTTAAACTTAGCCTGTTCAAATTACTGTGTACTTTTTGTCTTCAGAGTAGAGCCAGACTAAAACAATTAGTATTATTTCAGAACTCTTTCTGGATCAGTAATCACTGTTTTTGCCTCTCATCAAGACAAAAATGAAGAGACTGAGACCTCTAAAGTCAAACATCTTCAAGCCAGCATTTTGTAAGTGATTAACATTTGCTATTTCTCCAATATGGTAAGTAAACATTACCTTATTTTTAGCGACCTCAGCTGCCATTACTTCAATCTGTACTTCATAGGATTTGATAGCTTCATTTACAGCTTCAAGCTGTTGCTTATAGGATGCGTGCTCTCTCTTGAGCTCTTCCAGCTCCAGAGTGATAGCTTCAACTTCCTATAAGAAACCATTACCTACACATTCAACAGGCTATTCATTACTGAAATATGAATACATACATGTCAACAAACTTTGTAAGATTCTCATTCAGATAAGACCCACAGCTTAGTTATTCAACTACCAAAACACATGTAAGCTGTTTCCCCTGAAGAAGGAAGGAGAAAGGAAATTTATTTTCCTACACTTAAAAAAAAATGATGACAAATGTATGTAGTTTTAACAGGTGCAAAGAACTTAGCATAAACTATTTCCTTTATCCTTTTATTCCTACAGAGAAAAATATAGAATTCTACATAAGATAAATTAGCAGAGGAAAAGCCTTTTTTAAAACATAATTATTCAAAGTAAAAAAAAAAAATAGTTTCTCAATTTTCTTCTTTCCCATTATACCCTTCAGTTCGTTAGAAAATACTCTGTGCAGGTATTTAGTGACAGAATATGAAGAAAAATAGATTTAAATAAAATCATCTAGAAAAGTGATTCAGAGCACAGCCTTTGGAGACAGAAAAGGCCAGGTTCAAATTCCAGCTTTGGCACTATCCAAAAGACAAAAGCAGTTATCACCACCAGTCTACAACTGAATGGCACTTTGTAAAGTAACATGTTTTGTCTTGTATCTTTCACAGTATCCATTCACACAGATGATCACCTAATAGAAATGTCACCACTCAAGCCGATAGGACATAGCTCTACTACAGGATACAGCTCTACTACAGGATACAAGCTTTGGTCTACTCTTAAGTGAAGCATTTACAAAAAGGCAATTTTGCTCTTTCTCTAAAATTAGCAAGACATTGCAACCCATCCTTACAATTATGACCTCCATTATAAGGTTTTCAGCAAAATGACTTAGAAGATGAATACTTTATTTCCTAAAGAACCATAGTGTGCTTTTAGATGTTGTGGTGAATACTGATGAGTAAGGCCACCTTCAGCTCTATATTGACAACAGAAGATGGGTTCCATTTCAAGAAAGGTTATTACCTGTTGCTTTTCTTTCATTTTCTTACTGGAAGCATCTGCTTTCGTTTTGGCAAAATCCAGTTTTTCCTGAGCATCCTTCAGTTCTCGCTCCCTTTCAGCCTCTGCATTTTTCATTTTATTCTCCAATACTTCATACTTTTCTTCTGCTTTTTTTTGAATTTCTTTGGTGTTTTTTAAGGTCTCCTCACTTTCCTCTGCATCATAAAGTAGGCAAATGTGGCTTAATGAGGTCCTTCAACTATTAGTAGTTACAGGTAATGGTTTATAAATGCCTCATAAATGCATCTTTTAACAGAAGAAATGGTCTGAAAAATTGGAGGCTAAAATTTAAAAAAATTAACTGTTCCAATCTTATTCTAGAAATGTTATGTTGAAACACAGATCCTACCTAAGAGCCATACTTCAATCATCTAAAGATCTATGAAGAAAGTATTTCCAAGCATATGAACTTGAGGAACATAATAAACTTTACCTGCCACTTACTTAAAAGATCACAGATCATCTTTTTAATACCTTTAATACGCTTCTTAAACCAGAATCGACAGTATAACTATGGTATTTTCCCCTTACTTAATTGCCAAAGGCTTACAGTTAATTTCATAAATAAGCTTATGTTGTATTCTTTGCTCATTTATGCCTTTTCTTAAAGTAGAGAAATACTGAGAAAACTTGGATGAAGCATAGGAGAAATATCTCTAATTTACAAAGAAAAAAATAAAACCAAGATAAAATGAGCATATTACTGTTACAACTGCCATACAGTTTTAGAATGTAGATACAAATATAATCCTGGAGACCATGACTACACAATGTCCTATACTACTTTTCAGTGCATAATATCACTATAAGAAATCAAAGAAAACTTTTTAAAAAATACCTTAAAACAAATGAAAATGGAAATACAACATAGCAAAACTTTATGGGATGCAAAGGCAGTTCTAAGAGTAAAGTTTATAACTGCCTACATTAAGAAACAAGAAAAATCTCTAACAATCTAACTTACATGTAAAGGAACTAAAAAACAAACAAAAAACAAAGCCCAGGTTAGTAGAAGGAATGAAATAAGATCAGAGCAAAGGTAAAATGAAAGAGACCAAAAAATAGAAAAGTTCCATGAAAGTAAAAGCCAGTTCTAAGAAAGAAGGAATCGACACACTTTAAGGTAGCCTAAGAAAGGGCTCAGATAAAATCAGAAAAACAAGGGAGACATTATAACTGATACCACAGAAATACAAAGGATCCCAAGAGACTATTATGAACAATTATATACCAAGAAATAGGACAACCTAGAAGAAACAGATAAATTCCTAGAAACCTACAAAGACTGAATCATGAGAAACAAAATCTGAACAGACCAATTAGTAATTGGTAAGGAGACTGAATCAGTAATCAAAAACCTCTTAACAAACAAAAGCCCAGGACCAGATGGCTTTACTGGTGAATTCTACCAAACATTCAAAGATTTAATACCTATCTTGAAGTCTTACAAAAAAACAGAGGAGGAGGGCACAGTTCGAAACTCATAAGGCCAGCATTACCCTGATATCAAAACCAGACAAGGACACCAGAGGAAAAAAAAATTATAGCCTAATAACCCTGATGAACCCAGACACAAAAATCTTCAGCAAATATCAGCAAACTGAATTAAACGATACATTTAAAGGATGATACACCATGATCAAGTGGGATTTATTCCAAGGATGCAAGGCTGGTTTAACATCTGCAATCAATATGCTACACATTAACCAAATGAAGGATAAAGAGCATGTTTTCAATGGATGCAGAAAAACATTAGACCAATTTCAACATCCACTTATGATAAAACTCAACAAAGTGGGTATAAATGAAATGTATCTCAACATAAAAAAGGCCATGCAAGACAAGCCCACAGCTAACACTGTACTCAATCCTGAGAGGCTGAGTTCTTCCTCTAAGATCAGAAACAAGACAAAGAGGCCTCTTGCCACTTTTACTCAACCTAGTACTAGACGTCCTAGTCAGAGCAGTGAGGCGAAAGAAACAAAGGCATCCAACTTAGAAAGGAGTTAAACTATCTCTATTTGCACATGACATATTATATACAGAAAATCCTAGAGACTCCACAAAAAAACTGTCAGAACTAATAAATTCAATAAAGTTGCAGGATACAACACCAATGTACAAAAATCTGTTGCATTTCTATATACCAATAATGAACTGTCAGAGAAATTAAAAAAACAATCCTATTTATAATTGCATCAAAAAGAACAAAATACGAAGAAATAAATTTACCAAGGAGGTAGAAAGATGTGTACACAGAAAACTAAAGCACTGATAAAAGAAACTGAAGAAGGCACAAATAAATGGAAAGATACGCTGTACTCATGGATTGGGAGAATACTGTTAAAATGTTCACACTACCCAAAGCAATCTGCAGATTTGTTGAAATCCCTATCAAAATTGTAATGGCATTTTTTCAGAAATAAAACAATCCTAAAATCTGTATGGAACCATGAAAGATCCTGAGTAGCCAAAGCTATCTTTAGAAAGAACAACAAAGGTGGAGGCATCATACTCCCTGATTTAAACTATAATACAAAGCTTTAGTAACAGTATGGAATTGGCATTAAAAACAGACACACTGATCAATGGAACAAAACGAGACCAGGAATAAACCCATGCATGTATGGTCAATTAATTTATGACAAAGGAGCCAAGAACATGCAATGTTGGGACAGTTTCTTCAATAAATGGTGCTAGGAAAATTGGACAGCCACATGCAAACGAATGAAACTGGACCACTACCTTATACTACACATAAAACTTCACTCAGAATAGATTAAAGACTTGAATGTAAGACCTGAAACCATAAAACTCCTAGAAGAAAACATGAGTGATAAGCTCCCTGGCACTGGTCTCAGCAGTGATTTTTTTGGATTTTACACTAAAAGCAAACGCAGCAAAAGCAAAGATAAGTGGACAATATCAAACTAAAAAGCTAGAGCAAAAAAACCCATCAACAAAAGGCAACCTAACAAATGAAAGAAAATATCTGCACATCATTTATCGATAAGGGGTTCATACCCCAATAAAGAACCCATACAACTCAAAAGAAAAAGTCAAACAGTCTGATTAAAAAATGGGTAGAGTATCTGAATACACATTTTTCTACAGAAGACACACAGTCAACAGTTACATGAAAAGATGCTCAACATCACTAAGCATCAGGGAAATGCAAATCTTAACTACGATGAGATACCATCTCACACCTGTTACAAGGGGTATTATCAAAAAACAAGAAATAACAAGTGCTTAAGATGACGTGGAGAAAAAGGAACCCTCACACACTGTTGGTAGGAATGAAAGTTGGTGCAGCAACTATGAAAAACAATACAGAGGTTCCTCATAATTAAAAAATAGATATGATCTAAATAAAAGTTCCACTTCTGGGTATTTGAAGAAAACAAAAACACTAACTCAAAAAAATATATATGCACCCCTATGTTCACTGCAGCATTATTTATAACAACCAAGATATGGAAACAACCTAAGCATCCACCCATGAATGAACAGATAAAGAAAATGTATGTGTATATACAATGGAATATCATTCAGCCACAAAAAAGAAAACCTTGCCATTTGCAACAACATGAATGAACCTTGAAGGCATTATGCTAAGTAAAAAAAGAGAAAGAGAAATATGATACAGTATCACTTACATATGGAATCTTAACCAATTTAAAAAAATCCTAGCTAACGCATACAGAGAACAGATTAATGGTTGGCAGAAGTAGGGGGGTGAACAAAATGGGTAAATTACTTTTATAAAAAGGGAAGAAAATATATTAGTGGGAATATTGTCCTAAAGAATGAGAAAAACTAAAACTACCCTATACAATTAAATTCTAATTAAGTGTAAGACAAGTTCTTAAAATTAGGGGTAGAGGTGGCTATAAATTGAATTATGTCAAACATTAAAAATTTCTGTTTAATAAAAATACTATAAACAAAGTTAAAAGACAAGCACATAAACCAAAAGATATTTGTAATGCAGATAATCTACAAGAAATCAGCACTCAAGTATGAGAATAGAAAAAAACCATAAACAACTCAAAAGAAAAATGGGGAAAAGAAATAGAAAATTCAGAAAATAGAAGTAGAAACCAAAAGGTCCAAGGAACATATATAGATCCCTAGCTTCACCAGCAAATCAAGGATCTGCAAGTTAAAATACTAATATGCTATCTCTTCAGAACAATCAGATTTGGAGATATTTTAGTCTTTCCAGAAAAGAAAGGATTTGGAGAAATGAGAACTTTCATTTGCCACTGGTGGAAATGTATACTGTTGCAAATGGGCAGAACTTGGCAATATAATATCTATTAAAAATATTTAGTTATCAATTCAAATAAATATATAATAAAGAGGAGATCTAAAATGTCTAAAGTAAGGTTATCAGTAGAAATAGTTAAACAGAGAATGTTTTTATCTTACCAATGATTCTTTTAAGAGCATCTAATTCTTCTTGTTGCTTATGATATGAGCTTTGCTGAAGCTTGGTTTGCAATAAATCTGCCTCCTCAGTTTTCATCTCCCATTGCTGTTTTAGTTGGCGATACCTCAGAAAAAGAGAAATTTACAATAAATGATCACAACTTTTCTGGTATTTGAGATATGCATTTAAACTGTAGGCTCTTAGCTCAAGTAATCTCACAATATAAAATAACTTTGGAATAAATAGGTTCCCTTAAAAATGGTCTCTCCTACTGATCCTTACCAAGAAGAAAAACTCCACAATAGCTCCCCACCACAAAAACACATTAAAATGTAACCACCACACAAAATTTCAAAAATCTGGTTATCAATTCCCATTTTCAAATATTAAAGTTCCCTACATTTTGTAATGAGACCGATAGTTTAAAAAGGCACAGTACTGAACTTAAACATTACAGTGCGCTTCTTGCAAATCCTGTAATTCTAGCCCATTTCTAGCTGCTGAAAATTCTTTCTTTGGAAGGTATTTAGCTAATTCAGCTGCAGTGAAATTTCAAGCTGTAATAAATTCACAAGGAAGCTTGGCACTAGAAATTCATGAGGTCTGAGGAAAAAGGAAAGAAGCAACTTAGAAAGCATAAATATTCCCTTGAGTATTCTTGCCTGAGAATGCTTGACAGCAATTAAAACCATAATTTTCAAGCCATTTCTCATTTCGTTTAAAAATGTGGAATGCAGAAATTTGAAAAAAAGTTAGAAACTTTTTTCCTAATATAGTCCATGAAAGAATGGCTTTAGGACCTTTCCACTCTCATATTTTTTAAGTAGGTTCCATGCAGGGTGCATGGAGCCTAACTCAGGGCTTGAACTCACGACCCTGAGATCAAGACCTGAGCTGAAATCAAGAGTCGGATGCTTAACTGACTGAGCCACCCAGGGGCCCTCCACTCTCATATTTTTAACAATCTATTTCCTTTCCTTGACCTCAATGCCACAATCAGTCCACAAGACGGTTCTGTAAAATAACTTTATTCAGTAGTATTGGATCTGACAGTAAGCCAAATGCAACTACAAACTCATTGCCTTGCCAAAGCTTCCACAGATCTCAGAAATCTTCACATCTTTTTCAGAGAAAAGTTCATTCACTTTCTGGTAATTTATGTTAATGAAGGTAAAATCAGGCTTTACATATGTATCTGTTTGAAAGTAGGCATTCTGATACAATTTCTATCTTAGAACGAATTACGACCATCTCTTCCATATGTATAGTATTCCAAAAAAGTTTTGGCACCATTCCAAGCTTTGATAATTCAGAAAATGAAAGCTAAAAATTTGCAAATATATATATATTGAAGTTTATCTACATACATATTTTAACCTTTATTCAGTATTGCAAATTCCAAATAAAGTGATCTTAATTTTAACTCTGTTCCCATTTGTCATCTCCAGAGAGACTGGAAAAAAATCAGAAAGTTTCAAGTAATGTACTTAAGTTTGTGGCATTTTTCCTCTTAGAGCTTAGCATTATCTGTTTTACCAATTTAACTTTTTTTATTGTGTTTTCCTAGCTATATATATGAAAACAAGAAGGATGAGATTTATCTGTTTGGTTCACTGCTATATTCCCGCTCCTAAAAGAGTACTTGGGACATAGGAGACAATCAATAGTAAATAACATTAATTGACAAAAAGAGGTTACATTAAATAGCATGATCCCAATTTCAAAAAAATAAAAATATGTATCTACCCATATCATACACAAACAAAAGTAATGTTGAAAAGCACACATGCATACCCACATCCATACCTACACAGAAGAAACACTGTAAAGAAGCACTTTAACAGTATACTTTCTGACACGACCTTGTTTACTTCCTCAGTGGGAAACCCAGTGATCTTTATTATCTATCAGACAGCCACAAGCTGCTAAACTTAATGTTGACATCTGATCGATGCTATACTGTTTATCATTTCAAATCAAGGACTCCAGTATCCTCTGGTATCAAGCTCCAGAGTATCTATGGATTTCCCCATCAATCCCAGTAGAATGTTAACAGTATATCTCAACAGGGAAAGAAAAATACCTGGCTGATGTTTTCTTCCTTTTGTTTAATTAGCTTTCCCTATTTTCTTATAACAGACATTATTTTTATCAGAAAAAATAACTGATATATAAGTTATCAACTCACAATTTATTCAAATAAAACCAAGGATATTATAAAAAAAGCCAAAGTTGTATTTCTTTAGATAAAATTCTTTCATTTTCTACCATGCAAGTCTTTGACCAAAAAGAAACTTTAAAATTTAATTTAATCTGACAGAAGTCTTACTTTTCAGCTGTGTTTTTAAGACCTGCTAATTCCTCGTCTAGAGTCTGTAGCTTATTTTCCTTGATTCTCAGCTCATCTTGAACATCTTTGAGTTCTTGAAACTTGGTTAAAATAGAAGCTGCCTGGGATCGAGCACCTGATAGAAACAAATTTTAACAGGGCTCAGACATTAAGTTACAACAAAGTTAGTAGACAAAAACTTTCTAAGAATTATACTTGAAAAGATTCAATGGCAAATATTTTATAGTAAGCTTATAAAGATACAGAATTCATTTTATCGTTAGAATCTTAGGGCATATATACTTGATAAGAAAATACTTCTAAGCAGATGTGGTGGATCGTTTATTCAAAATAACCACTGCCCCTTCCTACTGGGCCCATCCCTCTCAGGACCATTTTCCTCTCCAGTATCAGCTTAGCCATGTAGTTTTCTCTGGCCAATGAAATGGAAAATGTGCCTCTTTTGAAAGTAAGTTTTAAAAGGGAGCACATAATTCACCATTTGTTTTCCCTCTCCCTTGAGAAAAGCATGTTCAAAGTAGGGGCTATTTTTCCTTCAGCCTGGGTTCCAGAATGAGAATAACACGGAACAGAGAGAAAAATGACCTAGAGGTAAAGTAGCATAATTACGGTACTTATTTTAAGCCACTGAGATTTGGGGGCTATTTTTTACCGCATCATAACCTGGCCTAAACTTTGATATAGCAGAGGAAGCAGAGGAAATTGGTTTCACTTTACAAGCAACTATAATGGTCTGACAACAACAGGTTGAGTTATGTTGGCAAGAAAACTCTAGGTTTGATGGGAGAATGCAAAGGTCAATTAGCAATGCTATTATAAGCACTTTGATAATATGATACTGGGACAGATATTTGCCATCCCTGAAGTAGGAACTTCAAGAACATCCAAATCAATGAAAAAGTTTCTTCTATTTTACACATTTAAAAATATTTGATCTCTCTTTATCCTCCAATTACAGACATTAATCCTCTTATTGTATATACTGGAATTCATTTCGCTGGCTATTGTTTTCTTGGCCTAGAAAGAAATTAAGTCACTTGATACCTCAACAGGCATTATACAGTCTCTTGGTTTGGTTAAAAGACAAACTGGGAAAACAGATAACCTGAATTCAAATCCTGGGCTTTGCCACTTACCTGCAAGTTATTTAACCACTCTGTACATTAGTTTCTACAACTGTATACTGCAGATGATAGTAATATACCTGTCACATTGTTGCTATAAGGATGAAAAAAGTTCATTATTTAAAGCCCTGAGAATAGGTCTTCATAAAATGATAAAATGTGTATCTGCATTGCGGTTACCCATTAACTATTTGTGGTCACAGAGTCCTTGAAATGTGACTAGGACAATTGAGTAAATTATTCTTATTTAACTTTAATTATCTTAATTAAATGTAAAGAGCCACATTTGGCTGCTATACTGAATGGCACAGTCTTAGAATGTTGCCTGGTACACAGGAAGTACTATTCAGTGTTTGTTAGCTACTTGATCATTCAACATAGATCTGGAAACTCAATGTAGCAAATATTAGAATAAGAAGAATATGATCATTATCTTATTTGCTTTCCTCCACCAAAAAACTCCTAGAACTGATCTGTGAATTCAGTAAAGACTCAGGATACAAAAATCCATGTGCAGAAATGTTGTACTTCTATATACTAACAATGAAGCACCCAAAAGGGAAACTAAGAAAACAATCCCACTTACAAGTGCACTGAGAATAATAAGATACCTAGAAATAAACTTAATCAAGGGGGTGAAACACCTGTATTTCCAAACTCTACAAAAAAATGATGGAAGAAATAGAGGTGACAGAAAGAAAAGATACTCCATGCTCATGGAATGGAACAAATATTGTTGAAATGTCCAAACTACACAAAGCAATCTACACATTTAATGCAATCCCTCTCAAAATACTAACCAGGGATTTTCACAGACTAGAACAATCCTCAAATTTGTATGGAAGCCCAAAAGACCCCAAATAGTCAAAGCAATCTCGAAAAAGAAAAGCAAATCTGGAGGTATCACAATTCCAGACTTCAAGTTATATTAAAAATCTGTATTCAAAATAATATGGTACTGGCACAAAAACATACACACAGATCAATGGAACAGAACAGAAAACCTAGAAATAAATTCACAATTATATGGTCAATTAATCTTTGACAAAGGCGGAAAGATATCCAATGGGAAAAAGACATCTCTTCAACAAATGGTGTTGGGAAACTGGTCAGCTACATTCAATAAAACTAGACCACTTTCCTATACCACACACAAAAATAAACTCAAGATGGAATAGACGGAACTTTAAGACCTAAAACCATAAAACTCCTGGAAGACAGTACCGACAGTAATGTCACTGATAGAGGTCATAGCAACCTTTTTCTAGACACATCTCTCAAGGCAAGGGAAATAGAAGCAAAAATAAACATTTGGGACTACATGAAAATAAAAAGCTTCCGCACAGCAAAGGAAACAATCAACAATACTAAAAGACAGCCTACAGAATGGGAGACGATATTTGCATCTGAAATTATCTGATAAGTATCCAAAATATACAAAAAAAATTGATAAAACTCAACACCCAAAACCCAAAAAATCCAATTAAAAAATGAGAAGACATGAAGAGGCATTTCTCCAAATAAGAAATATAGATGGCCATTAGACACATGAAAAGATGCTCATCACTCTGCAAGGAAATGAAAATCAAAACTATGAGGTATCACCTCACATCTGTCAGAATGGCTAAAATGAAAAACACAAGAGACAAGTGTGGCAGAGGATGTTAAAAAACAGGAACTCTTTTGCACTGTAGGTGGGAACGCAAACTAGTGCAACCACTGTGAAAAACAGTATATGGAGGTTCCTCAAAAGGTTAAAAATGGACTACCCTACGGTCTATCAATCACACCACTGGGTATTTACACAAAAAATGCAAAAACACTAATTCAAAGGGATACATGCACCTTATGTCTACTGCAGCATTATTTACAATATCCAAATTATGGAAACAGCCCACCTGTCCATCGCATGCTGAATGGCTAAAGAAGAGGTGGTGTGTGTGTATGTACACACACACACACCATGGAATATTATTCGGCTATAAGAAAGAAGGAAATCTTCAAAAACTTATGATGTAATGTATGGTGATTAACAATAAAAAATTAAAAAAAAAAAGAAGGAAATCTTGCCATTTGCAAAAACATGGATAGAACTAGGAAGTATAAGGCTACGTGAAATAAGTCAGTCAGAGAAATACCATATGACTTCATTCATATGTGGAATTTAAGAAACAAAGAAGAAAAAGAGAGATAAGCCAAGAAACAGACTCTGAACTACCGAGAACAAACTGATGGTTACCAGATGGAGGGTTGGTAAGGTGATGAGTGAAATGGGTTACACGGATTAAGGAGTGCATTTGTTGGGATGAGCACTAGGTATTGCATGTAATTGTTGAATCACTAAATTGTACACCTGGAATTAATACATCACTGTATGTTACAAAGAAAAAACTGATACAATCAATATTGCATAATGATTCTTTTTACTTTTTTGTTTTGTTTTTGAGTCTTATTTAAATTCAATTTAACTAACACATTCTGTATTATTAGTTTCAGAGGTAGAATTTAGTGATTCACAAGTTGCATATAACACCTAGTGCTCATTCCATCAAGTGCCCTCCTTAATGCCCATCACTCTGTTACCCCATTGCCCCCACCTTCCCTCCAGCAACCCTCAGTTTGTTTCCTAGAGTTAAGAGTCTCTTATGGTTTGCCTTCCTCTTTTCCTCATTTTTCCTTCCCTTCCCTTATGTTCATTGCTTTGTTTCTTAAATTCCACATATGAGTGCAATCGTATGATTTTTGTCTTTCTCGGACTTATTTCACTTAGCATAATACCCCCTAGTTCTATCCATGTCATTGCAAATGGCAAGATTTCATTCTTTTTGATGGCTGAGTAATAGTCCATTGTGGAAGTATGTATGTGTATTCTATACCACATCTTCTTTATCCATTCATCTGTAGATGGACATCTGGGGTCTTTCCATAGTTTGGCTATTGTGGCCATTGTGGCTATAAACATTGGGGTGCATGTGCCCCTTCGGATCACTGTTTGTATCTTTGGGGTAAATACCCAGTAGTGCAATTGCTGGGTGGTAGGGTAGCTCTATTTTTAACTTTTTGAGGAACATCCATACTGTTTTCCAGAGTGGCTGCACCAGTTCTCATTCCCACCAACAGTATAAGACGGTTCCCCTTTTTCCACATCCTCGGCAACACCTACTATTTCCCAAGTTGTTAAATTTAGCCATTCTGACTGCTGTGAGGTGGTATCTCACTGTAGTTTTTTTTTTTTTTTTTAAAGATTTTATTTATTTGACAGAGAGAGACACAGTGAGAGAGGGAACACAAGCAGTGGGAGTGAGAGAGGGAGAAGCAGGCTTCCTGTAGAGCATGGAGCCCGATGCGGGGCTCGATCCCAGGACCCTGGGATCATGACCCGAGCCGAAGGCAGATGCTTAACGACTGAGCCACCCAGGCGCCCCATCTCACTGTAGTTTTGATTTGTATTTTCCTGATGCCAAGTGACATTGAGCATTTTTTCTTTCATGTGTCTGTTGGCCATTTGTATGTCTTCTTTGGAGAAATATCTGTTCATTTCTTCTGTCCACTTCTTGAATGGATTGTTTCTTCGGTGTTGAATTTAATAAGTTCTTTATAGATTTTGGATTCTAGCCCTTTATCTGATATGTCATTTGCAAATATCTTCTCCCATTCCGTAGGCTGCGTTTTAATTTTGTTGACCGTTTCCTTTGCTGTGCAAAAGCTTTTTATCTTGATGAAGTCACAATAGTTCGTTTTTGCTTTTGTTTCCCTTGCCTTTGGAGATGTATCTTGAAAGAAGTTGCTGTGGCCGAGGTCAAAGAGGTTGCTGCCTGTGTTTTCCTCTAGGATTTTGACGGATTCCTGTCTCACAGGTCTTTCATCCATTTTGAGTTTAAAGTTCCAGTTCCAATACATTTAATACTGAGTATTAATCTTGTCTTCTAGGCTTTCTTTTTGTTGCTGTTTGTCTCATATCTTGTGTATCTTTTTAGTTATTTATTTTTAACTTTTTTTATCATTTAGGTTTAAGCCCAAAAGTAAAGCCCAAAAAAACCACAACCAACCCTAAAAGTAAATAGTCAAATCCATAAATCTTTGCACTTCAATATTAGATTTTTAAGTCACTAGTAAACTGATATACTTAATAACTGTTTCTGCTTCTCCTTTTTACAATCTTACCCATCTCTTAGAGCTATTGAAATGTTAAATGAACTAATGGTATGGTTCCTGGCATATCCTAAGTTCTCAATAAACACACAAAGGAAAGAATATTTAGTAGAGGTTCAACATTAGCTCTGAAATTCAACTCTCTGAGTTAAAATGCTAGCTCTAACACTATTTGCCATTGAATGCATTACTAAACTTTTCTAATTTCAATTTCATTTTCCTAAAGAAGTGGGAAAATAAAACTTTACAGAATAGTTGTAAGGAATAAATGAGGGGGGAAAAAAGCAAATATGTATAGCACCTGGCATAGAATGAATTAAATATTAGCTATTTTTATTCTTTGCAAACAAACAAAAAAGCAACCTACCTCCACTCAATGTCCCATGAGGATCAAATACATCACCCCCTAGGGTTACAGTTCTAGTCATTATCCTTTTATCAAACGCCACTTTTTTGGCATTATCCATATTATTACAAACAAACGTTGTTCCAAAGACAAATTCCATTGCTTTCTGAAGTTCTGGTTTGTATTCAACCAGGGAAAGAGCCACGTGAACATTGTTAGGACCAACCTGTGAGAAAACAACAAATATGTCACAGTACATACTACCCTTCCTTTTCAAATATTTTACAAAACAGAACTGCTATACTAGAAATTTAAGTACTACTTACCTAGCACTACAATTCCTTTTGAACTTTCTAAAATACTATGGAAAACAAGAGTTTTAGAAAAAATTTCAAGTTTAAACATTGAAACTTCTATGGCTAAGTAAAATATTTAAAGTACCAGGTATTATGAGAGTGTCTATTGAGGGAGCCAGTACCAAGTTTCTAAATCCAAAATGGACTATTTGGACACACTCTCTTAGTTAAAATACAGCAATTGCTGGATCAACACAATTATATAAAATGTTTTATTTCAATTATTAATTTGCTTATTCTATAATGAATACTTTTTCATTCAAATTAAACATGCTAAGCAGCCACCTATCAGTTACAGAAAAACACAACTAGCAATTGAGAAGGTAAAAAACAGGGCGCCTGGGTGGCTCAGTTGGTTAAGCGACTGCCTTCGGCTCAGGTCATGATCCTGGAGTCCCAGGATTGAGTCCCGCGTCGGGCTCCCTGCTCGGCAGGGAGTCTGCTTCTCCCTCTGACCCTCTTCCCTCTCGTGCTCTCTATCTCATTCTCTCTCTCTCAAATAAATAAATAAAATCTTTAAAAAAAAAAAAAAAAGAGAAGGTAAAAAACATTTTAAAACCCTGTGTTTTATTTTGATCCAACTGCCTCTTCTCAACCTTTGTTGATGTATACTTCTGCCCATCTTTTTAAAACAACTAAGCATCCTTTAAGGAGCTTAGTAGCAGCAAGAGAAATCAAAATGAAGGCAGCTCTGTATAACAAATTTTCAGCATTGCTCTCTGACATAGCAGCTATCATTAAAAAGGTTTGGCTAAGGGACCTGGCTAGAAGTATTTTTGCTGCTACCTAAAACCCCACTTCTTATACTGGGACTTGTCCAAAAGCTGAGGTAACTTCCAAAACCTTCCAGACCCAATGGTAATTTTTCAAAGTAAACAAAGTACTAACCAGAAACACCACCTTTCAATTACTCTGCACTCATTTTCCTTCTCCTGAGAGTATACATGTCAATACAACTGTATTTTAAAATAATTTTCACTGAAGGCTTCTCAACAGCAGCAAGAACACTGAGTATCCATTTAGTATCTTAATTATAAATGCATTTCTAAGTTTCATAGAACTGTCTTTTCAAATGATGCACTTGGAATGCCTGCTCAATAACAAACTGATAACACTGCTGAACATTAGGATTGGCTTCATGTTATTACCCAATATTACACAACTATAATTGCCTTTTAAATGTATTGCCTTGTACTCCTCTGGGGTTTGTTTTTATTTTTTTACTAATAGCTATACCACTTTAGATCCACCTCAGCAGCTGAATGGGTATCCTGATCCCCTGCTTTGTATGTCCAGAGGCTGGAAGGCAACCGAGAGAAACTCTAATAGAAAAACATCTCTATAAGACTGATAGATAACAGTTGTCACTATAGGCAGTTTAACTGTGTCTGGCATGAAAAAAAACTGAAGAATTCTGGTATTTATAAGCTCTGTAATTCTCGTAACTCAGAGATTGGAAATTTAGTAATATGTGATAGTCATGTAACCGGACTGAAGGTTTAAAGACATTTTAACATTACAACTTTGTAATATCAAAGGTAGTTTTAGTTTTCCACTGTTTCTATTGTTCTTCCATCTACTTTCACAAAAGCCAACCCTTTTTTTTGTAGCTTAAATGTTTAAGGCATGATAACAACAAAATTTTGTGGTTCTACATATAATTATGTCCCCCAAGTTAACGTCCTCTAACTAAAACAAAACAAAACCAAACTAAAAAACAAGATCTACCTAAAACATAAAGAAGACTTACAAGATTCTGAGCGACCCTCAGAGTTTCTGGAGCAATACATCTGGCTGAAATTTTATTGAGTGGAATTATAGTGTATCGACGTTTCAATTCCCCCTTTTCTAGTAACTTTTTTCCAGTAACCTAAAAAATTGTGCATTTGAAATAAGGAAATAAAATATCAATGACAGAAAACATTCAGAGGGAAAGACTGCAAGTTTAGCAATCCACAATTAAATGTTTAGTGCCTAGTACCCTGAACAACGGCAAGTCTAAAACTGGTAATATGCATTCTGGATTCCTAAGTAAGCATGAGACTTCTTTGGGAATATAGTTTATCAAATATACTATAATCAATAATAAAATAAAAAGTTATTAACTGAATAGCTATACCTGTAAAGATAAACAACCTTAGGAATAGCTTAAAACATCAAGAAAGTACTTAATTCTAGCAGCTCATGACTTTTCCAGCTAAGGAGGAAATGTAAATTTTCTTTAATTAATTTACCTCTGTGTCTACTATAACATTGTAGAGCCGTTCCCCAGCCACCAATTCTAAAGCTGTGGTTGCAGAAGTATCTTTCACACTTATCAGAGAAGCTACAAGTCCTTTCACACAATTTCTATTCCAGTTCTTCTCTGGATCCCTAAAATAGAACAGTTGACAAAAATTAATCTGAAACAATAAAACAGAAAAAGTTGTATTTTACTAGTCAAGAGCTCGTCCTAGCAACACATTAAAAGCATATACACTTTTAAGAAAAACAAAAATTTAATGTTCAGATGACTAGACAACTCTTGTTTTAAGTCACTCAAAAGATCTTTCAGTACATATTGTTTTCAATGAAACAAAAATAACTTTGATGTTATAATCTTTTTTTTTAAAGATTTATTTCAGGGGCGCCTGGGTGGCTCAGTCGTTAAGCATCTGCCTTCGGCTCAGGTCATGATCCCAGTGTCCTGGGATCAAGCCCCACATCAGGCTCCCTGCTCAGTTGGTAGCCTGCTTCTCCCTCTCCCATTCCCCCTGCTTGTGTTCCTGCTCTCTCTCTTTAAAAAAAACAAAAAAACAAAAAAACTTTATTTATTTCAGAGAGTGAGTGCGGAGCCCCACACAGGGCTCAATCTCAGAAGCCTGAGATCATGACCTGAGCTGAAACCAAGTCAGACACTCAACCGACTGAGCCACTCAGGCTCCCCTGAGGCTATAATCTTTGTAATACATACATTACTCTAAGTATTCCATGAAAAAAACTCATGTAAATTTGTAAATTGTAAAATGTTAATGTAGATATTTAAGGAAACTTTGGACTGAGATTTAATTTCCCTCATTTTGGTCTTAAGAATTCCCACTGCCAACACTTGAAACATTTCAATAAACATTTAAGAAAAAAAATGCCAATTAAGGAAAAGCAGCTTACAATATTTTTCATACAAAAATCTTAATGTTAACAAAATTTTCAGATTGTCTTCCATCTTAAATGAAAATATATCTTGGTTAACATTTCAGTAAGTGTTTAGGGAAAAAATACCAATTAAGGAAAAGTAGCTTACAATATTTTTCATACAGAAATCTTGATGTAATTAAATTTTCAGATTGTCTTCGAGCTTAAATAAAAATATATCTTGGCTATTACCATGTTAAAATTTAAGGTTTAAATCTCTTACCTGTAGGCAAATTGAATATTAGGAAATCTGGCTAAGAGAGCTTCATATGTTTCTTTCAGTCTACTGATATCACGAGATAGCTGCCTGCGCTTTTCCAGAAGTCCTTCCTCCTTGTTTTCTGAACAGTAAATCACAAGTAAATTGAAACAGAGTTTTAAAAATGCAAATACTCTACAGTTTAAAGAAACTATCAATAACCTCTATTTCCAAAGCATTCCTAGAAGCAAAATACAAATTTCTGGTATTAAATAAAAAGCATGCTTAAAGTGAAAGATCAAGTAGACAATTATTACCAACAAGTAACAGAAATTTTCATTCCAAAAACAATGTATGAATTGAATAACTATGAATGTGGAAATATACAACATTTTGGGAGTTTTCAAATGGCACTTTGGTAACCGAAGCAGGAAACTGTCAGTAGTGAGTTTTCAAAAATTCAAAGAGCTGGGAAGATGGTAAAGTGGAGAATCTTAACCTCACCACATCCCATGGATTCAACTAGATAACACCTACATCAGTGTAACCCAGAAAACGGCCCAAACGCTGACAGAACAGACTCTCCACAGCTAAATGTAGAGAAGAGACCACATGAAACAGGGTAGGAAGGGCAGAGACAGTCAGGAGCCAAGCAGACCTGTGGGACTGTCAATGGAAGGGAGGGACACCGAGGGCACAAAAAGGGGAGAGAAATGGACTGTAGTCACACCAGGCACCCCAAGCACAGGGAACCGCAAGGGGAAGACAAATCCCCACTGAGCGGCGCCTGGGTGGCTCAGTCAGTTAAGCGTCTGCCTTCAGCTCAGGTCATGAGCCTAGGGTCCTGGGATCAAGCCCCACATCGGGCTCCCTGCTCAGCATTGTCGGCTTCTCCCTCTACCTGCTTGTGCTCTCTCGTGCTCATTCTCTCTCTCTCTCTCTCTCTCTCCCCCTCTCATATAAATAAAATCTTAAAAAAACAAAACAAAAAACACAAAAAAACCATTTCCCTTTGAAAACCAGAGGGGCATTACTTCACAAGTTCTTATGATCTGTAGGGCCTAACATTTGGAACTTTAAAACTCAGCAGGCTCAGCTCTAAGAGAGCTGGGAGGGTGAGAGGAAACAGACTCCCCGTCCTTAAAGTGATAGCACGACAAACAGCCCCACAGAGACATGGCATAAAAGCAGCAGTCTGAAAAGCTGCCTGGAGTATTCTGGTGGGAGATTTGTTTACCAATCTCAGAGCATGTGCTGGAGGGGCAGGGATCCTTGGGAGACTTCTCCGGGAACAAAAGAGCTGGCAGGCACTATTTTCCTCCTCTGCCACCCCCCAGATCCTAGACACACAGACACTTGCAGGAACCAGCATAGGGCTCCACCTAGCTTGCTAACAGTGCATCTCACCCAAGTTTTGCAGACATGTCCCTTCCCACAACAGACCTGTGCAAACCTTGATAAAACTGCTGCTTTCTCGTGTGGACCTGCCCTCTCCAATACGCCCTGGGTCAGAGCCCATCCAAAGCAGTACAAGCCAGGCAGGGTACAAACAGCCCCAACAGGGACCAGCCCCACTCTAAAATAACTCCCTACGCTGCAGAGAGGGGAAGATAACTATATATACCAGTCCTACTGCGGCCTCAGCAGTAGGCTGGGGTCAGATACCTGGTCTGACTGCAGGCCTCACCCACCAAGGACTTTCTCAGGGGAAAACAACAAGTTCTGTGCTACCCCAGCAGTTCTGTGCTAGTGGGCCATCACTACCTACCTCTTCTCCCCTCCCTGCCTCACTTCCCCTGACACTAGCTGCTGACTGCCCCCAGATTTCAGGGCAGTGTTGGGGTCTCCGTGTGGTCTCAGCAGCTTCTTCCTCTCTGGCAAACACCTGGTCTGACTCTCAAGTCAAGCCCAAGGCAGCCCCAGACTGGCCCACTAACAACAAAGGGCTCAAACCCTGCCAATGACAGGCAAACAGAGACATTCCAGACGACTAGACTGAAGGCAAAAGCAGCTTAGCCACAATAGTAGGGTACACAGATCACATAGGAGATACCACTAAAGCATCAGGTTCTGGTGAACAGGGGACACTGCGCTGAGGGCATTACAGGACTCTTCTCCAGAAGGTCATTACTCTCAAGAGCAGGAGATGTAGCTAATGTTCCTAACGTGTAGAAACAGACACAGAGAGACAAAATGAGGAGATGCAGGGATATATCCCAAAGGAAAGAAGAGGACAAAATCACAGCGAGAGCTCAATGAAACAGAGAGGAGGAATATGCCTGATAAAGAACTTAAAGTAATGATCGTAAAAATACTCACTGGACCTGGAAAAGAGTGAACTTCAGTGAGACCCTTAACAAAGAGAAAACATAAAGGAGAACCAGAGATGAAGAACTCAATAAATGAAATTAAAAATACTCAAGATGGAACAAATAGTAGACTAGAGGCAGAAGAATGGATCAGCAACCTGGAGGACAAAGTAACAGAAGGCAATCAAGCTGAACAGGTGATAAGACAAAATAACAAAAAATGATAACAGACTTAGGGAACTCAGCAATACCATCAAGTGTAATAACTTTCCCATTATAGAGATTCCAGGAGAGAGAGAAAAGGGGGCAGAAAATTTGAAGAAAGAATAACTGAAAACTTCTTGAATCTAGGGAAGGAAACAGATCTACATCCAGGAGGCAAAGAGAGCCCCCAACAAAATCAACTCAACGGGGTCCAAACCAAGACACCCAGTAATTAAAATGGCAAAAAAGTAGTTATAGAGAATTTTAAAAGTATCAAGAGAAAACAGTTACAAGCAAGGGAAACTCCGTAGGCTATCAGTTGATTTTTCGGTGCAAACCTTGTAAGCCAGAAGGGAGTGGCATGCTATATTCAAGTGCTGAAAGAAAAAAAGCCTGTAGCCAAGAGTATTCTATCCAGCACGGCCATCATTCTTTTTAAGTGCACATGGAACATTTTACAGAATAGATCACATATTAGGCCACAAAAGAAGTCTCAACAAATTCTTACCACAATGCTAAGAAACTAGAAATCAACCACAAGAAAGTCTTCAGAAAGTACAAACACATGAAGGATAAAAACATGCTACTAAAGAATGAATGGGTCAACCAAGAAAAAAAAAAAAAGGAAATAAGTACACGGAGACAAATGAAAATGAAAACACAGTGGTCCAAAACCTTTGGGATGCAGCAAGCTGTTCTAAGGGGGAAGTTTATAGCAATACAGGCCTACCTCAAGAAGCAAGAAGTACCTCAAACATCCTAACCTTATACCTAAAGGAGCTAGAAAAGGAACAAACAAAACCCAAAACCAGCAGAAAGAAATAATATAGAGTAGAAACAAATAAAATAGAAACTAAAAGAAAAGAATAAAAGAAACCAGGAATTGGTTTTTTAAAGAAGATCAAACAAAATTGATAAACCTTTAGCCAGACTCAGCAAGAAAATAAAGACTCAAATGAAATCAGAAATGAGAAGAAATAACAACCAACACCACAGAAATACAAACAACTGTAAGAGAATATTATGAAGAAATATATACCAACAAACTGGACAACCTAGAATGGATAAATTCCTAGAAACATATAACCCAACAAAAATTTATTTCTTCCTGTTTCAGTTTAACAGACTGACTACCAAAAATGAAACTGAGTCAGTCAGTAATATAAAAACTCCCAAAAAGCCAAAGTCCAGGACCAGACGGTTTCATAGGCAAATTCTACCAAACTTTTTTTTTTTTTTTTTAAGATTTTTATTTATTTGACAGAGAGAGACACAGCAAGGGAGGAAACACAAGCAGGGGGAGAGGGAGAGGGAGAAGCAAGTTTCCTGCAGAGCAGGGAGCCTGATGTGGGGCTTGATCCCAGGACCCTGGGATCATGACCAGAGCCGAAGGCAGACGATTAATGACTGAGCCACCCAGGTGCCCCTCTACCAAACATTTAATACCTATTCTTCTCAAACTATTCCAAAAAATAGAAAAGGAAGGAAAACTTCCAAATTCATTCTATGAAGCCAGCATTACCCTGATTAAAAAAAAAAAAAAAAAAAAGATAAAGACACTAAAAAAAGAAAACTACGGGCAGTATCTCTGATGAATATAAATGCAAATATCCTCAACAAAATATTAATAAACCAAATCCAACAATACATTAAAAGAAATCATTCACCACAATCAAATGTGATTTATTCCTGGGTTGCAAAGGTGGTTAAATATTCACAAATCAGTCAATGTGATATATCACATCAACAAAATAAGGGATAAAAACCATACAATCATTTCAATAGATGGAGAAAAAGCATTTGACAAAGTACAACATCCATTCATGATAAAAGCCCTCAACAAACTAGGTTTAGAGGATATATACCGCAATATAATAAAGGCCCTATATGAATAACCCACAGCTAACAACATACTCGATGGGGAAAAACAGAGCTTTTCCCATAAGATCAGGAACAAAACAAGGATGCCTACTCTCACCACTTGTATGCAACATGATACTAAAGTCCTAGCCACACCAATCAGCCAACAAAAAGAAATAAAAGGCATCCAAACTGGTAAGGAAGAAGTAAAACTCTCACAATTTCCAGATGACATGATACTATATATAGAAAGCGAAAGATCTACCAAAAAACTGCTAGAACTGATAAATGAATTCAGTAAAGTTGCAGGATACAAAATCAATGTACAGAAATCTGTTCCCTTCTATGTACCAATAATCAAACAGCAGAAAAATTATACACCAATAATGAAACAGCAGAAAAATTAATATTCCCATTTACAATTACACCAAAAATAATAAAACACCTAGAAATAAACTTAGCCAAGAGGGTAAAAGACCTGTACACTGAAAACTATAAAGCACTGATGAATAAAATTATAGATAACATAAACAAATGCGAAGGTATTCCAGGTTCATGTACTGGAAGAACAAATAATGTTAAATTCACCATACTAACCAAAGCAATCTACAGATGTAATGCAATCTCTATCAAAATACCAGTATCATTTTTCACAGAACTACAACAAACAATCCCAAAATTTGTACAGAACCACAAAAGACCCTGAAGTGCCAAAGCAATCTTGAAAAAGAAGAACAAAGCTGGAGGTGTCACAATCCTACGTTTCAAGATATACTATAAAGTTGCAGTAATCAAAAGAGTATGGTACAGGCACAAAAGTAGACACATAGATCAATGGAATAGAATAGAGTGCCCCAAAATAGATCCATGATTATAGGGTCAATTAACCTTCGACTAAGCAGAAAAGAATATACAATGGGAAAAAGTCTCTTCAACAAACGGTATGGGGGAACTGGACACTTTCTTACACCATACACAAAAATAAACTCAAAATGAATTAAGGACCTAAACGTGAGACTTGAAACCATAAAAATCCTAGAAGAAAGCATAGGCAATAATTTCTCTGCCATCAGCTATACCAACATTTTTCTAGATAGGTCTCCTGAGGCACGGGAAACAAAAGCAAAAATAAACTATTGGACTATGTCAAAATAAAAAGCTTCTGCACAGCAAAGGAAACAACCAACAAAATTAAGACAACCTATGGAATGGGAGAAGATATTTACAAATGACATATCCATTAAGGGTTAGTATCCAAAATATACAAAAAACTTAAACAACTCAACACTAAAAAAACAAATAATCCAATTAAAAATGGGCAGAAGACATAAACAGACCTTTCTGCAAAGACATAGAGATGGCCGACACATGAAAAGATGCTCAACATCACTAATCACCAGGGAAATGCAAATCCAAACCACAATGAGATATTACTTCACACCTGTCAGAATAGCTATACTCAAAAAACACAAGAGACAACAAGTGTTGGCAAGCTTGTGGAGAAAAAGGAACACTTGTGCACTGTTGGTGGGAACGCAAACTGGTGTAGCCACTATGGAAAACAGTATGGAGGCTCCTCAAAAAATTAAAAATATGATTACCATCTAATCCAATAATTTCAAATACTGGGTATTTACCCAAAGAAAATGAAAACACTAATTTGAAAAAATATACACCCCTATGTTTATTGCTGCATTATTTGCAATAGCCAAATTATGGAAGCAGGCCATGTGTCTATCAATAGATGAATGGATAATGATATGATATAGATACACAATGGAATATTACTCAGCCACAAAAAAGAATGAAATCTTGCCATTTGCAATGCAGACAGATCTAGTGAGTATAACTCTAAGTGAAATAAGTCAGTCAGAAAAAGACAATTACCATATGATTTCACTCGTGTGGAATTTAAGAAACAAAGCAGCAAATAAGGAAAAAAAAGAGACAACCCAAAAAACCACCAACTATAGTTAACAAATTGATGGGGAAGGTGGTAGGCGGATGGGTGAAATGAAACAGGTAAAGTGGATTAAAAGTACACTTAATCATGATGAGCACTGAGTAATGTACAGAACTGTTGAATCGCTATACACCTGAAACTAAAATAACACTGTATATTAACTATACTGGGATTAAAAAAAACAGCTGTTCTATACTTAGTTGACCCTTAAACAATGGGGTGACTTGGGAGGAAGGTTGGGGCACTGACACCCCTGCCCCACACAGTTCTAAATCCACGATTAATTTTTTTTTAAGTAACCTCCATGCCCAACATAGGGTTTGAATTCACCACCCTGAGATCAAGAGTTGTATACTCTACCCACTGAAGCAGACACCCCTAAATCTGTGTTTAATTTTTGACCCTCAAACTTAACTAATGGTCAAATGTTAACAAGAAGCTTTACGGAGAAGATAAATGGTTAACACATAGTTTGCATGTTTTATGTATTATATATTGTGTTCTTACAATTAAGTAAGTTAAAGAAAATACATTTACAGTACAAATTGTATTTATCAAAACAAAAAAAAGCCTCAAGTAAGTAGACCCATGCAGTTCAAGCTTACGTTCAGGGATCAACTGTATTTAGAAATATTTCTTACATTAACACCCATTAATAGAGTAAAAAAAAGAAATTCCTACTTGCTATTTCCTTTAATTTTGTTTCTATCAACAATCACTACCTCCTAATGATTTAATATCAAGTGTTTAAATGCAAACCTTCATAATTTAGCTTTTTCATTTCGGCTTCAAGTTTTTCTTTAAGTTTCTTCACAGCCTCTAAAGCTTCTTGATCCTTCCTGTAGCCACTATCCATCTTCTTAACTTCAGCCTGTTTAGTCTTTAATTCTTGTTGGGCATGTTTCAACTTCATCTGAGCCTGTTATTGAAAATTTAATAGACTATGTGAGGCAGACAGTGCTAATGATTAAATGGCCGCAAATGCAGATTGGTTTAAGAAACATCAGCCTTGGGCGCCTGGGTGGCTCAGTTGGTTGAGAGACTGCCTTCGGCTCAGGTCATGATCCTGGAGTCCCAGGATCGAGTCCCGCATCGGGCTCTCTGCTCAGCAGGGAGTCTGCTTCTCCCTCTGACCCTCCCCCCTCTCATGTACTCTATCTCATTCTCTCTCTCAAATAAATAAATAAAATATAAAAAAAAAAAACATCAGCCTTGAAAATTTAACTGTTAGGTCACTTGCATTAATATCTCAAGAGATGAATCATTTCCCAGTATTTTCTCCTCAGAAAACTACTCAGGGTCTAAATGAATATATGCTTAACATAATTCATCAAATAATTTATGTCCATATTTTTAATACTTATTAAAGATGACATTACTGAGTTCAAAAATTATATCAAAGAATAACTGTCATTAGCTGGTTAAATTAAAAACACAACAGAAAGATAGTAATCAGAACTCTAGTTCTCTTCCTTTCATATGTGTATTTGTATTTGTGAGTGTTGTTCAATTAACAGTGGAGAAACTGTATTGAGCAATAAGAAAAATTACACTGGAATGGGAAACTAAACTGACAAGAGAAATTTCAGTGCTAGGAGTTGGATATTCAAATGCTAGTTTATATAACTGAGTACACTGTTCCTTAAAAGAATGAACCAGTACTCTGAGATCTAGGTGGATGTCACCTCACCTAAAACTGAATAATGGTGGACTTTTCCCAATATATAATAAGTTAACAGAAAAACTGAGAGGACCTGAAAGTTTTTCTATTGATTTCTTACAGAATTTTGTGACCATCTTTGAATGGAAAAGTTGCAAACGCATAACAGAAAATGTTGAACAGGATTAATACCAACACAGACATGAACATCTGTATATACTTTTAAAGAGTTGTCTTTTAAAAAAAACTAAAAATACGTGAAAAAATATATTTTTTCTTTCTGCCCTCAAAACTCTTGCATCCATAGGACTTTAAAAGCTGCACAACTATCTAAACAAATTTGAGGGGCGCCTGGGTGGCTCAGCCGTTAACCGTCTGCCTTCGGCTCAGGTCATGATCCCAGGGTCCTGGGATCGAACCCCACATCTGAGCAGGGAGCCTGCTTTTCCTTCTCCCACTCCCCCTGCTTGTATTCCCTCTCTCGCTGTGTCTGTCTCTGTCAGATCAATAAATAAAACCTTTAAAAAAAAAAATAAACAAATTTGAAAGCCTTCACTGACAAGCCTTAAGGATTATGAAATCAGTGTAGGGAAAGGGAAGACTAGAATGGGGGTGAGAGGGAGGTAAAGGTACTTCCAAGGACGAAAGGGGACTAAGTGTGGTGGGCACAGAAATGGACAGGATGTTTGTTTTCCTGTTAAAGCTTAAGACTGCAACTTTATGTTGCCAACAAAAGCAGGGAAAATAAGAAAAAAGAAGAAATTAACCTCAAATATTCCATACAATACTACAAATAAAGCACTTATTGAATTTACAATTTCAACTAACCTATGAAGGTAGTTAATGTTGTATAGCATCCTATGTACTATTTGTTACCGCTGGGGTGGGAATAAAAATCTAAACACCAAAAAAAAAAAAGTTGTATAGCATCTTAAACTATTGTCATCAATATTTAGCAGTTAAGATATAGTGGCAGAATAACAAATTCCATGACACTGATCTGATTATTGTCAATGGTTTACAACTGCCAAAGCATAATGTGAAGCACTTAAAAAAAAAAAAAAAAAAGCAATCACACAGTTGTTTATGTCTGTATTTACCTGTTTGGCTTCTGTCTGAGCTTTACTTATGTCATTTTTACAGGCCATCATTTGACCAGCAAGAGTTGCTTCAGCCCCGTCGTCACTGCTAGACAGTCCGGCAGAAACAGCATTGAAGTGCTGCTGTGCAGCAGCCAAAGCTTCAGCATCTTTGTTACCTGCTTCCTGAAGGGCGTTCAGCCCATCTGTTATCTTTTTAACCTCTTTTTCCTTTGCTGCTAAAGTTTTGGAATCCTTCAGAAAGAGTTTCAGATTGGAAAGTATTAGGTTTTAGGGAAGACATCCATTTTTTCCTATACACCAATACCTTTAGGTCATCAAATTTCATAGCATTTTGAAGCGGACATGGTAAAAGGAAAATAATTTAACCAACCACTTTAAATACTTTATTTCCATTTTGAAATTCACCGTTTTTCAGATAAATGTGCCCTTATACTACCAGAAGTACTTTCATTCCATATGTTATAGTCTAATCTAGAAATTAGCTAAAATATTATAGTGCAAACCAACCATCTGAAGAAACTAAAAATCACTCTCTAGAGCTTTAAAATTGAATAATCATTCTACTCTAAGCTTCAAAGTAGAGAATGTAGGATTAGGAGCGTGTACACAAAAATTTATAAACTATCAAAGGCCATAAAATTTAAATATTAAATACTTGTGGGAACAGCATTACTAATACTTAACATCTTTTAAGTTATATGCACTATAACACCATATATACTAAGATACCAGCACTGGAAAAAAATAGAATCCAGCTATATTATTTACATGAAAGTGACCAGAAATTTTGGCCCACATGTTTAACTCATGATTCATTAAATATTTATTAGATGTTTACCATGTACCAGGCATTGTTCTAGACATTAAAGACATGGTCCTCAGGGACCCTATATTCTAGAATGGAAGACACAGGAAAAAATAAAGCAAGGTAAAGGGACGGAAAGTGATGGGAACTACTATTTTAAGAACAATGAGGGAAGGCCTTTTTGTGGTGACATTTTGAGCAGAAACCTACATGAAATAAAAGGAATGATCATGCTGATACTAAGGGGACAAATACTAGGCAAACTGCAGAATATGCTTAGGTGTTTGAGGAACTGTGGTTGGAGCACAGTGAGCAAGTGGAAAAGGAGCCAGGAGTCCTATCAGGTAGGGATGGTAAAGGCTCAATTATACATGTGACTTTGAAACCATTAAAGAATTTTAAGCACAAGAGTGATGTGATACAATTTATATTTCAGCTTCTGTAAAGAGCTGACTGTAGAGCAGCAAGAGTAAAAGCAGGATAACTGATATGGACACTATTACAGCATCCTTCATGGGTGGTGATGGCTTGCAGGTTAGCAGTGATGGAGGTGATGAAAAGTGGCTGTATTCAGGATGTACTTTTAAAGTCAAGAGAGTTTGCTGATGGATTAGATATGGAGTTTGAGAAAAAAGGTGGAATGCAGGAAGACTCCAGGATTTCTGGACTAAACAATTAGGTTAATAGTGGTGCCTGGTACCATTTTCTAACATGGAGAAAATTCAGCTACTAAAAGAAGTTTGGGGGGCGCGTGGGTGGCTCAGTAGTTAGGTGTCTGCCCTGGGCTCAGGTCATGATCCCAGGGTCCTGGGATTGAGCCCCGCATTGGGCTCCCTGCTTGGCGGGAAGCCTGCTTCTCCCTCTCCCGCTCCCCCTGCTTGTGTTCCTGCTCTCGCTATCTCTCTGTCAAATAAATAAATAAAATCTTTAAAAAAAAAAAATAATAATAAAACAGGTTTGAGTAGGCAGGGAAAATTTAAGAGTTCTATTTTTGACTACATTAAGTTTTAGCCTTTTTGTTAATCATATATGTAAAACGTCAATCCAATAGCTGGACAAATGTTCAGGGAAGGAGTCAAGGTTAATTATAGACCTGAACATCACCCTGCAGATGGTATTTTAGGGCTACCAGGCTGGATGGGATTACCTAAGAAATGAGTGCATATAAAAGAAGCGTTTTTGTGTTTTGATTTATCTAGACTGGATTCAATATTCCCATATTCAACTACCTAATCAACATCTCTACTTAGATGTTTAACAGGCACCTCAAGCCTATTATGTTCACACTGTACTTCTTTCCATTCTCTACTAAGCTAATGGTAACGATATTTCCAATTGTCAAAGACAAAAATCCACCGCTATATTCCTAGCCCAAACTATACTTGGTCCATAGCACACACTCAATAAATATTAATTAAAGACAAATGTGTACTAGTGGAATTAAACTGAACTTCATATTTACTTACCTCAATCATATTTTTCTCTAGCTCTTTGCGTTTGTTCTCTTCACTTGCCAGATTTTTCTTCTTGAGATCAAAGGCACTTTGAGATTTAGTATTAACTCGCTGAGCTTCTGCAAGAGCATCTTCTAAAGATCGGAGTATACCTCCAATTTCCTATAATCAAATGCACCCAATTCAATCAACGTACTTATAATTTACTCATGTCATCATCTTCTTGTATGACTTCTAGAAGATTTACTTTTTATAAGCTATTTATTATCATACATTAAGATTAACAAATCAATATAAAAGACCATGCCCAGTAAATATTAGTTATTGTATATAACTTTTTCACAGTATATTATCTATTCTTATGTATATATCTGACCTTATCTTTTCCTTTTTCCAACTCTTCTATTTCATGACTAAGTGCTTTTATTTTTTTATCATTCTCAGACAATTTTTCTTGAAGCTTTACAACTTTATCTTGCATTTCTTTTAACTCCTCAGCTGAGCGTTCTTTTGTATCTTCAGCCAGCAAAAACTGATAGGCAATATATAAACGACTCAAATGTTCTATTTCCCTCATTACTTTTTGGTATTCCAAGTAGGAAGATCTTTCCTAGAAAAAAATCACCAATAAAGTATAATTCAAACTTCATATTTTTCAACAAATTTAGAAAGACTCAAACTATAGCAACATGTATAAAATTTCCCATCACATAATAGATTTTGTCTTAGATTAGTGATCATGGATTATAGAAACTTTAACACTAGACCTCTGGCTTTTCAGACAGAATTATACCATCTCCAGTGAATCTCATGTGGCTATTTCTTCTAATATATAATCAGGCAGTTGGGATTAACAAAGAAATGTAGACATAAAGTTCATAAACTGGGGTTAGTAGTCTATAAATATGACCTATACAACCACCAATGATATACTATTACATGTATTTTGTAGTAGTATTACCAAGATGCCTACCCAACATTCAATCATGTAACTACTTACAAACATATGCTCACACATTACTAAGCTTGATTCCAATAAGGACCTGCTAGGGCAGACAGAATAATAATTAAAATCTCAAACGTGCAGGTGAAGAAATGAATTCAGTGTGGTTAAATGACTTCTCCATGTTGTCAGATTTAGAAAGAATTTGGCAAAATCAGGTATAAAACCTGGGTTTAAACTCATGATCTAGTGTTTTCTACTAACTGTTCATATAAACAGGATACCTTCAAGATCACTTTTCAGTTTTTCTAATAATATCCACACTACTATATGGATTCAGAAGACAACTTTTGAGAAGTATCGAATTTTAATGAGGATTTAATGAATTCCTAAATGCATAACTTTAAAATCAATGCGCTCGGGCGCCTGGGTGGCTCAGTTGGTTAAGCGACTGCCCTCGGCTCTGGTCATGATCCTGGAGTCCCGGGATCGAGTCCCACATCGGGCTTCCTGCTTCAGTGGGGAGTCTGCCTCTCCCTCTTCCCTCTCATGCTCTCTATCTCTCATTCTCTCTCTCTCAAATAAATAAATAAATAAAATCTTTAAAAAAAAAAATCAATGCGCTCTAAGTGTATTTTTTCACTGAAACATTGATGTCAGAAGCTACAAAGATTACAGAAAAAACCTGGACATCTGTTTCAGTACCCCTCACTTACCAACTGTCTTGACAGCAGTAATTGTAGAGATAGCCCCTATTATCCTAGGAGTTATTCACTCTACCAAAAGGGTTACTAGGACTGTGATATCCTCAAGAAATAGTCCACTAATTCCAATTATCCAGGAAAATTCAGACTTCTCTTCAACAAAGTATTATAATCTGGCATATCATTTTCTGAGATTATGAAGAGCAATGATTAATAGATATGAAGAACATGTCCTCTACAAGCAGAAGGCTGATTATCAAGTACCAACTCTGAACTCCAATCTCTCCCACAGAAAAATTCCTGAGATGTGGTATACGTTTCATCTCTATTTGTATAATCTTGAATATGTCACCATTTTTGAGAGACGTTCTAGCTGGCTATCCTCTATATAGTATATACCTCTTTTAATTTTTGAATGGTTGGAGTAATCTCTTCTTCAAGTATCTGGAAAATAAAGGAAAATCAAATTTTTCAGTATGAAAGTACCATTAAAAAAACTGAAAAGGAAAAGAAGCATGAAGTCCAAGGAAAACTAGGGAGGGGGAATTTCCTCTTTACAGCAGAGAAACTCTGAAATTACTCTCGTCTTTAAAAATGTTTTATGTAAATTTAATTACCGTCTTAATTTCTTTCAGCTTAGCCTCTTTTTTTTCTATAGTTTTCTGGGCAGCTATTTTTTTGTACTCATACATCCTGGTTCCAGCTGCTTCTTCTATCATGGACAAAATCTGGAAAGACAATTATATTAATGTTTTTAGAATCCAAGATAAAGAACTTCATCGGAGTTTACAAAAAGTATATAATTTAAGGTCTTAACTTCACTAAGCATTTTACCAAATAGTGTCCCAAATGGATCAGAGACGTTAAGTGCATGTATTACCCGTAGCCCTAACATTCAAGAAATATTTCTGACCTTTACTCCAATCCTAAAATCAAACTGCATGCTACACTGAGGTTGCAGAGTAAATCTCTTTTAAAATTGAAGCCAGGGGTGTCTGATTGGCTTGGTCAGCTGAGCATGTGACTCTTGATTTTGGGGTTGTGGGTCTGAGCCCCATGTTGAGTATACAAATTACCTAAAAATAAAAATAAAATTGAAGCCAGTAATTCCTCCCTCCTCTTTTCCTTCATATAGAAGTCTAAGAAAGTAAAGACTAACAACACTCAGTTGTCACTTCAGAAATTTCTAATTAAAATTGTTCCAAGGGATTTCAGTCATTTTTTGCCAACAGGATGAAGCATGACATAACATATGCATTCCAACCACGGCACATGCATTAAGAACTTCGGCAAGTAACTTAATTTTTTGTGCCACAGTTTCTTCATCCACAGGGTACTTAACATCTCACAACACTGTTGAGAATTACACAAAGTAATTCATGTGAAAAGCACTCTGAAAAAGGCAAACACTAATCAATTGTGTTTTAAAAGTAGAAAAATTTTACCAGCACTCCTTTTTCAGAAGCTTCTACTCACCATCAATCCTTATCTCGAGAGGATTATTTCTCTTGAAACCATTTTGATTTCTATGTATTTGACAGGTTTCAAATTAGAAGTTTCCCTTAAGATGTTATCTAAAGAAGATATGCATGACCTATGTTCAAACCAGACTGGTGTTATCAATGATGTTTTCTTCTTGGTTCTTTTCAATAGAAGAAAGTAACTATAGAGCCTTTGTTCTTACACAAAACATTCATTCCTTCATACCAACTCTTTTCAAGGAGGCTTCAAGAAAAAAATTAAAATTAAATCTTAATACCCTATGCCCTAAGAAATCCACTGTATGCAATGAATTAATTTCACTCAAATCTTTTTCTGTAGGGTTTAACTCTGACATGGAACAGTGGTTGAGAAAGGCTGCTTGATACAGTCAAATTTCTTTTAATATTGGGCACATAAAACTCTTAGAAGAAAACAGGAGGTTAAGCTCCTTGACATCGGTCATGGTGAGGATTTTTTTTTGGATTTAACACCAAAGCAAAGGCAACAAAGGCAAAAATAAACAAGTGGGATTATATCAAGCTGAAAACCTGCACAACAAAGGAAACCACAAACAAAATGAAAAGGCAACCTATGGAACGGGAGAAAATAGTTGTAAGTCATGAATCTGCTAAGGGGTTAATATTCAAATACATAAGGAACGTGTGTATGGGAACAAACATTTTTCACAAAAAACATACAGATGGCCAGTATGTATATGAAAGGTACTCAACATCACTAATCATCTGGGAAATGCAAATTAAAACCATGAGCTACTACTTCTGTCAGAATGGCTATTATCACAAAATCAAGAAAAAACAAGTGTTGGTGATGCTGTGGAGAAAAGGGAAACCTTATGTACTGTTGGTAGGAATGTAAATTGGGTGCAGCCATTATGGAAAACTATGAAGGTTCCTCAAAAAATTAAAAATAGAACTACCATATAATCCAGCAATGCCACTTCTGGATATTTATCCAAAGAATACAAAGACACTAACTTAAAAAGGTATCTGCAACCTCATTTATAATACCAAGACATGGAAACAAGGTGTCCACTGACAGATGAATGGATAAAAAAATGTGATATGTATATACACAATGGAATATTATTCAGTTATTTAAAAAAATACAATCTTGCCATTTGTGACAACATGGATGGAACTTGAGGGCATTATGCTAAGTGAAATAAGTCAGACAGAAAAAGACAAATACTGTATAATCTTAGTGTATGTGGAATCTAAAAAGAAAAAACTGAGCAGGGTGTCTGCTTCTCCCTCTGACCCTCTTCCCTCTCGTGCTCTCTCTCTCTCAAATAAATAAATAAAAATCTTTAAAAAAAAAGTAAGAGAGAACATATTAGTGGTTGCCAGAAATGGAAGTTAGCGGGTGGGCAATATGGGTACAGGTGATCAAAGGTACAACCTTCCAGTTACAAAAGTCCTGGGGATATAATATACAGCATGGTGACTATAGTTAATACTGTATTGTATATTTGAAAGTTGCTAAGAGAGTAAATCTTAAAGTTATCATAAGAAAAAGAAAATTTTAATTGTGGTGATGGATGTTAAATGACTTAAAAGGATCATTTTGCAATGACTACATATATTTAATCACTATGCTGCACACTTGAAACTAGTATATCACTTATACCTCCACTAAAAAAAAATCTGCTCGGGCGCCTGGGTGGCTCAGTTGGTTAAGCGACTGCCTTCGGCTCAGGTCATGATCCTGGAGTCCTGGGATCGAGTCCCGCATCGGGCTCCCTGCTTAGCAGAGTGTCTGCTTCTCCCTCTGACCCTCTTCCCTCTCGTGCTCTCTCTCTCAAATAAATAAATAAAATCTTTAAAAAATAAATAAATAAAAATAAAAGAAAATCTGCTCAACAATGACCCGTAGCTTTTCTTAAACCTTCTCATTTAATCCTTAAAATACCTGAGGGAAGGACTTTTGACTCTAATTTACAGATGAGGAAACAAAGGCTCAGAAGGATTATGTTATACAGCTTTAAAAAGGTGAGGTGACACAGTGCCAAATAGTAAAAAACAAAAAAAAACAAAAAATGACTTTCTTTACTAATCACTCTTAGTAATGTTTCCAAGAATTTTAATGGAAGAAATTATGCTTAAAAAATTGATTTAAAAGATTAAAAACAAACAAAAAAGATTAAAAACAACATCTACAATTATAATTTTTACTGTCCACAAATAGTATCCTTACCTCTGGAGGTTTCATATTCAATACTTTTGTAATTCGGCCCTGAAAAATGAAATGGCAGTTACTATAATGATAGAGTCATATAGGCATACATGTTTATCTGCCCTGAAGTTGTTCCATCCTAATATATGAATCTTTTGGGACTTCTTTTACCTACATTACATTTGAGACCAAAGGTACCTTATAATTCCAGAAATTTGCTATTTACCTTTTCACTTACCAGTGACATACAGTTATTAAATAATACAAAGTTAATTCAGACCATATTTCTGAAACAATATTAATGACATAGAAGTCTCCAGCAAGTATATAAATATATAAATGTTGGCATAACTGTTGAACACTTCTTGATTTTTTTTTTTTTTTTTAATGGCTGTGCTCCAAGATAATTTCTAGAAATACATTGCCCACTTCTGGGCCTCAAATAAAAGAGTAAAATCTTTTATTTCAATGCCAGCATATCACTATCAAAAAACAAAACAAAACCCTACTAACTCAACTCTCAGGGCATCATATTACTTAGGATTTAGATTCATTTGAAATCAATTTTCAGCTTTGAGGCTGTGCTGTGGTAAAAATAATGTTATTTTGGTTGCATTAGGATCCTGCCATTGGCCTTGCTGAGACTTTCTAAGAGGACAGATGGATGGGTCAAGTGAGATAATATAAAGGCAAGACGATATTAGCACTTATTTTTCATTTGAATAAGTTTCTAAGGAAGAAAATTACCTAAAATTTAATATATATTTGAAGTAATAAAATGCTTGAATCCAGTACTTTAAAAGGATACATTATGACAATATATTTTTAAAAAAATTTTTACAGTGACCGTGTATTATTCTTGCAATAACAAAATAAGTCAAGGAAAATTACTTCTAGACATTCTTCAAACTTCAAATATGTATCTTAGAACATATCAGTACATATAAACAACCTATACTCTTAACAGGTACCCAAATACCAGTACAATAGAAAACAAAAAATGGAAAACCCAAAAAGAAGCACTTCTCCTATTATAACTTAAAAAAAAACGATGTCAAAACCATTATATAAAGACCATAAATAAAATACCTGCATGATGAGAAAGTGAGGGTTGTTAACATTAAGGCCAACAGAACAGAAGAGATCTTGTACTCTGGTATTGTTTGCATTTACTCCATTGATTAAATATTTATTTCTACCACCAATAACCACCTAAAAGGGAAGTATTTTAAAAAATATAAATGAACATACACATCTCGAATTAAGATGATAAATTCCCAAATATGTTTCACTTGTTTGTTCTGTCCAACTAATGGTAAATAAAACCAATCATGAGTAAATAATGGAGGAAGTGTGAGATGGTCAACAAGAATATAGAAGTCAATTGTCCTGACTCAATCCAAAAATTTTTGCTAACTAGTTATATAACTATCCACAATCCTCCTAACTTCCCCTGCATTGGACTAGATCTCTAAGGTCACTTTTGACTTTGTTTCCAAGTATGTGTAAAACATATTCTAACCCTGATCACTCTTTCTGCAATTTTTCCACCCTCAGAGGTTAACCCCTCTTTCCTCCACTTTTTAATTTCCAAAGAACAGAAGTCAGATACTAAAAACTAAAGACAAGCAGTTTTGTTTTGGTTTTTCTCATTTTTAAGAGGGAAAAGGAGAGAGAGAATCTTAAGCAGGTTTCACACCCTGCGTTAAGAACCACGAGGGGGCTTGATCTCACAACCCCGAGATCATGACCTGAGCTGAAATCAAGAGTCAGACGCTTAACCAACTGAGCCACCCAGGTGCCCCAAAGACAAGCAGTTTGATAACAATCCTTGACAAGATTCTAAAAGGGGTTAATAAAGACATGACTTGTGAATTCTTGAAAGAAAAAGAGTAATCATAGAGCTTCAAAGAAAAACTTATACCAGACACCAGCTTGTTCAGACTCTACTATTGCACTTCTACTGTGACCTAAATAATCATCTCACTCATAGTATTTTGAGGTCCTTAATAAGATGTTTCTCATTCTTCTATCCATATTTCCCAGTGCCTTCAAGAATGCCCAGCACACAGCAAACATTTAATAAAATACTGAATGAGTGTTAATTCATTTCTTGACAGGAGTATGAAGCTGATCATATATTAATATATTTGAACAGACTAATATAGATAAATATTTTAACAAAATCCTTATGACAAAATTTTGGTGAAAATACAGGCATATGGAAAGCGTGAGGAAAGGATTTTTAGGTAGATTAGTAGCAGACTTACTGAAAATTCCTAAAAGGTATTTGATGGATGCTTAATGACACACAACAGGATTTTATCGTAGTCAATGCCTTATTTTTTTTTAACCAGAGGTTTTTATTAAAATAGAAAGGGGAGGGACACCTGGGTGGCTCAATCAGTTAAGCGGCTGCCTTCAGCCAGGGTCATGATCCCAAGGTCCTGGGATCGAGTCCCATATTGGGCTCCTTGCTCAGCAGGGAGCCTGCTTCTCCCTTTCTCTCCCTCTGCTTGTGCTCTGTCAAATAAATAAAAAAAATCTTAAAAAAAAAATAGAAAGGGGACTCATAAGTTACATAATGCTAAGATGGAGAGTAAACAGGACTTAACAATTTTTAAAAATAAAACTGACAAAGTAACATTGTATGACTATAAGAAAAAGGGACAGATGTATGGTCCTGCACTGGTTTTAAAAACCTGCTTACATACAGAAATGGCAGTAACACAGCTAATAACACACATTTAAAAAATTAGAGTGATTTTAAGTATATCAGATATGAACTCATAATGTATTATGAACTCTCCAATGTCATATAGGGGAAAACAGAAGGGCACTTAAAATTAAAGAAATGACAATTCTGCTTAATCCTGTCCTAAGGAGACTAATTCTGATAAATGCAATTTAAGGTGCCATGCATTAAAAATAAGGGCATAAAAAACTAGAGCAAATTTGTATTCAGTGTGATCAGACAAGTGAAGGAAACAGAAACAATTATCAGTTGAAAGACCTAGAGAGATTTAGCTTAAATATTAAATATTTAACACCTAAATGTTAAACCTAAATATTAAAATTATGGAATACATTAGATTTGCTTTTCAATGCTCTCAAGGAACCAGATTTAATGTGTAAAAGTTGATGACAATACTTTGGCTCATTTTATAGGAATAACTTTTCAATTAGACCTGTCCAATATCAGAATAGATTACCTCAGAAGATAACAAGATCCCAACTACAGGTATTCCAGCACAGAGAAGATTCAAGTATGGTTCAAGATTTAAGCATGGTTGAGTGTCTACACTGATTGATGGCTTTTCAGATCCCTTTCAATCCTCTTGGTAAATGGTAGAATTTGTATGATCAAATTTTTAACATAAGGAAGATATTCTTAAGAAATCTAGTCAGGGGGTGCCTGCATGGCTCAGTGAGTTAAACATCTGCCTTCAGCTCAGGTCATGCATGATCCCAGGGCCCTCGGATGGAACCCCGCATTGCATCGGGCTCCCTGCTCAGCAGGAAGCCTGCTTCTTCCTCTCCCACTCCCTCTGCTTATGTTCTCTCTCCCTGTCTCTCTGTCAAATAAATAAAATCTTAAAAAAAAAAGAAATCTAGTCAGTATTTGATCAATTTTACTCATAAACTTTCTCTTCACAAAAGTCGTATCGCCAAAAAACACCTCAGACATAAGTTCTTAGATATCCAAATATTTTGAAGCCACTCACCTGCCTTGTTACTGTAATTTCATCATGAACCTCAAATCCTAAAGGGCTTTGCTTTTTGTCAGAATTATCAAATGTGATTGACACTGAGGCTTTGGTAATACCAGCCTGCCCATTTTTGTAAACTAAATCTTGTAAATTAGAAGCCCGAACCTAAAACAAAAGAAAAGTTTTATCAATTACAAAACCCCATACTGCACAAAATGGCATTAAAATTGGGTTTCTTGCTGTTGGAAAACCACCCATGTAGTATCCATTAAGTAGCCAAGGACAGACAGTTGCATTCAGAACCAAGAAAATCAAGGAAAATGGGAAACCACCTAAAATGAGTGCCTTTCCCCACACGACTTTTCCACCCCTGCATTGAATTGTTTTCCACTCATTTCTTAACTGAAGTTTGTTTGAAAGATTTAGGAAGACAGCATCTAAGAATTTCACTGTTCATCCAATTCCTTTAGATCCTGAAAAGGCATTATAATGCAGGGTGAATGGATAGGAATAGACTCTGGAAGAAGACTGCCTTAAAGAATGCCTGACTTTGAGTGTTGCTCCGAAAATCTTAAAGGGATGAACCTTATGCAACACCAAGTTTCTGTTTTCTCACCTGAAAGATGGAGTAATAATATCTACCTCTAAAGGATTGTGGTGAGGTATAAGATAATTTGCATAAACAAAAATGCAAATGAAGAGAATACTGGCAATAGTCTCTAAGTTCAACGTGGATTCCCCTGAGGGTCCCCAAACTTAAAATTCACATAAATCAGAAAATTTACCTGAGATAGGTTGGAGATGCCCAGCAAAAAGCAGATGGAGTCCAGTATGTTGGATTTCCCACTACCATTTAAACCAGTGATAGCATTGAAGAGGGGGTCAAAACCATTGACTTCAGTCCTCTGAGCATAGGACTTAAATCCTTCAAGGATGATTGACTTAACATGCATTTTCACTACTGACTTGGACAAGTAAACGTCTGCTAGGAATCCAACAGGTCACAAAGCAGCTCTGTATAAAACAGAAATTCATAAGTGGGACAGAAATCTGTAACCATAATGTAGGTAAAAGACTAAAACGTAAGAATGACAGCTTAATAGAAAACAGCCACCTGCTGAGCAACTTCCTCTGACGTAAAGACACCTTTTTCCAACTTAATTAATTGGAATTAAACCATTAATTCAACCTGAAGTCAACGACTTACTTTTCTAGGCTTCCCTTCCATCTTTATCATACTCTAACAAACTACTGATTATTTCATATCCTACTCCCTTTGCCCATAATGTCCTGCTCCCAAAAAGACATGACTCGCTCTTTACTACACTCAAGTCCTTGCTCAAACGTAATCTTACTAGGGTTTTTTCTGACTTCCCTATTTAAAAACGCACCTGTCCCCCTCCCCTCACTCTGCTTTTTCCTTCATCGTACTTAGGATGACACTAAACAGTATTGATTTATTCGTCTATCCAGACTATCGTAATGCAGAATCTTTGCCTGCGTCCACCGCTGTATGCTGGAATAGTGCCTGACTCCAGGGCGCCGGGAAAGGGGAGTGCCATCAATATTCACTAAATAGATGAATCCCACATACTCTCCAGCTTGTTTTCACTCTGCCCGTTCCCTAGCCCCACCAGGCCTTTCTATCAACACGTTTGCCCTACTCCAAGGCTGGAAAGGAAGTAGCCACTCTGTCAGGGAACGCATTAGGACTGACTTTAGTTTGAGGGCCCCTCTTGCTAACCCCTCTCTCCCCTGGCACACACACAAAAAAACCCATCCTCCTCTCCAGGCAAGAAATGCCAGACTAGGCCCAACCCGCCGCGCGCACGCACCCGCCTCACCGCTGCGCCAGGCCGCCCCGGCTTGAGGCGCCCTCGAAGCCAGTCCTGGTTACAAGAGCAGAAAGCCGGCCCACTTTGCCGGGCTTCGGGCCCTACCAAGAGAACCCCTCCATAGCCGCTGCAACACTCGCCCCGCGCTCCGCACCAGGGCCGGAAATATTTATACCTTTGAATTTCGGCGCGAGCAAAGGACCCCACCTCCGGGGCTTATTTCAGTGGCCGGTGCCTAGGAGATGCCTGACTTAGAGGTTCCATTTTTCCCTCCCATCGAACAACCAAAGTGCCAGGGAGATAGGAAAGAGCGTCACGACAAGGGCAGCTCTGGGGATGCGACGGCTGGGGCCTGAGGACTAAAACGGCAAGGGGCATGTGTTGAGCTCAGCATCCGGCACTCCTTGGGCAGCCACGCACCTCAGCCTCGGGGCCTCGCGCCTCGCCGGCCCCGCCCCACCCCAGGCCCCGTAGGCCTCGGGTCCTCCCGGAGGCCCCGCCCCTCCCGGAGTGCCGCGGGCTTGGCGGGACTCGCTTGTACGGCCGCGGTAGTCTTAGAGTCGTGGAGGCAGGGAGGCGGGAATCCTTGTTGCCGGTGTCCTCGTTGTACTTCAGAAGCCTCAGAATTTACCCGATTTGGCTCACATTTATCAAAAATGGGAGGCTGCGCTTTGCCCGGGCTGCGGAGGCGCGGAATTTGGGCGGACTGTGGGGCGCGTTCTGGCTCCGCCCCTCCCGGCTCCGGACCCTGGCGGGCTTTTTCATCTCAAATTTCGCAATGGGCAGGGACGTTAGTTTTTGCTGCCGCTGCCGAAAGCCGTGCTGATCCCAGAGGAGAAATCGTGTGGGGCCGGCAGCAGGAGGTGGACAAATAGGTGTTCCCCTCCCTGCACTTCGATAAAGCAGTGGCAGAACTAACATTTCAGAGAATTTCTTTGGAAACCCGACAGCTAATATTTATTCAGCTTTGTGTGACCGGCTGGGTTCCAAGGGCTTTAAAATCCTGCAACAACTCTGTGAAATCCGTGACACTGTTTTCATTTTATAGATGAGCGAACTTACTTCCAGTAGTAAGTGGAGAATCTGGGATTTGTTCCCAGTCTAGCTCCATAGCGCGTACTCTTAAATTGCTATATACTATTCCTCTTCGTGGGCAGAATCCAGGACCACTAAGAACAGATTCTGCATTTATTAGTGTGTATTGTTCTTAACAAACAAAACTGACCAATTTACTCACAGTTGAGCGTACTGATAACAGTAATTTAGGAAGGACCGCTTCAGAGTGCATTGTAGTACTATCCCTAGGTGATGTATAAAAAGATGTTGCAGCTGGTATGCTATTTTAAACCATATATTTAAACCTCCCCCCGCCCCCCCGCCATGGCTTTGCAGCATTGGACACCGGTCAAACTGCCAAGAATTACCAAGAATGGGCCTATGTTTTGACATTCTTTGTCTACTTAAGGTAAAATAAGTTTGGGGTGGTTTTGGTTTGTTTACTAAGAATTATTTACTCTCATATGCCATCGCTTTCTGTACTGTCAATGGTTACTGGCCTAACATCTTTTAGTTAAGTATCCTTGTCTACTTTGATTCCTTACATCCGCTACATTCTACAACTCACATATATTGGTTCTATTCAATTTTTTAATTAAATTTTTTTATTTTAATTCCAGTATCATTAATATACAATGTTATATTAGTTTCAGGGGTGCAATATAATGATTAAACACTTCCATACAACACCCAGTGTTTACAAGTGCACGCCTTAATCCCCATCACCTATTTAACCCAACCCCCCCACCCACCTCTCCTCTAGTAAACCTCAGTTTTTTCTCTAGTTAAGAGGCTGTTTCTTGGTTTGTCTCTTTTTATCTTTGCTTGTTTCTTTTGTTTCTTAAATTCCACATATGAGTGAGATCATGTGGTATTTGTCTTTCTCCCACTTACTTTTTTTTTTAAAGATTTCATTTATTTAAGAGAGGGCATGAGAGGGGGCGGGTCAGAGGGAGAAGCAGACTCCCCACTGAGCAGGGAGCCTGATGTGGGACTCGATCCTGGGATTCCAGGATCATGACCTGAGCCAAAGGCAGTAGCTTAGCCAACTGAGCCACCCAGTTGCCCCACTCTGACTTTTTAGCTTAGCATAATTCTCTAGCTCCATCCATGTCATTGCAATGGTCTATTCAATTTTAATATACATCTATTTTCAACAATGTCCCCTTCATCACTTTGTGAGGAAAGAATTTTAATTTGCCAACAAACCCTAAAGTGGGCTTTACCAAGTTGTGAAATAAACATTTCTTTGGGGGTGAAAATGGACGCTATTCGCCTTTGCACTTATTTAATGGATTGTTTATATATTTAAGTCAAATGGATGAAAACAGATGCAAATGCACTTTTGCCAGATGAGCACTTCTGAGTTGTTATAAGAATATACATATCTACTTCCACTGAAAGTATTTACTAAAATGAAAATTGCTTATTAAAGGAGAGATCTATATCCATTTTAGTCTTCCAGTATGCCAGGAACAGTAAGGAATTTCTGTTACTACGGATGGACTTGAGGAAATAACTAATGCCTCCTGAGATCACAGGGAAGTGAAGATCAAGGCACAAAGCCACTCATACTCCCCCAATTTGGAGAGGGAAGGGCTGGAAGTAAAGATAGACCATAAGGTAAATGTAGTAAAAATAAAACACTGTTCTTGTTTCATCACCATGGATCAAAATCTTTTGAAAGGTTCAAGATTGGCAGGCCGGTGGAGTTTTGGTCCTTATGTATAAGGCGGCAGCACCAACAAAGGCACTGATAAAGCCATAAGGGGGTCCTAGGAAAAAGATTTGGTCTACTCTTCCAGGACACGGAAGGACAGTCTTTCCCTGCGTGCACATTTCTAATTTTAGAGTTCTAAAGTAGCTCTTCTTGGGACTTAGATGAATCCTCTCTCCCTGCAACTTAGGACCGAAGAAAAAATGAAAGGACTTTACCTTCCCTGCAGACATAAGGAAAGGTTGATTCATTTTGTTGAGAGATTAACTTGGGGTTCAAAGGAATGAATTGATAATGATGGGAAGTTCATATTGTAAAACTGTATTGCATAGCAGCACATTTTGAATACACCAAGTATAACCTGTTTGACAAGAAATATAGCTGAACATAATTTAAGTAATAGAAAAGGAGGTGACCATTCATTCACCTATGGGATCGGGTTAGACCCGTTCACTTTCATTTCAACGACAAAACTGTTTTGAGTACTACATGTTATGTTTGATTCTTTGTGAAATCTGCCTATATTCTTTCATCATAATTTCTGCTATTTTGCCTCTTTAATCAAATATCTTTATTTTCTCTTTCAGGTACTTCCAGCTTTTGAATTCCTAACTCTACTGTTTACAACATTTGCTGAGTTTTACTCATGGTGATTTATATCCTCCCCTGGTATTGTTCTGGGATGGGGTGGTTTTGTTTACGGGAGTCTCTTATGCCCTGAGTTGTGAAAGAGTCCCTTCAGAACAGTTATGTATTTGTTTCTGCCAGGGTTTTTTGGCTCTTACATATGCTGGGGCATTTGTGAATGATTATTTCTCAGTTTGTGGTTCCTGAATTATGCAGATATTATAAATTTATGTCATGCAGGCCTGGGGTTTTTATTTCTCACAGGTACCTTTTGTTTGTAACCCCTATTCAAAGCCCCAAGCAAAGAACAAACTTCTCTTCTTCCCCAGACCAGCAGGTGGGATTTTTCGGTCCCAGTGACTGGCAGTTGCTTAAGGCTTGAGGTTTTACCTGAGGGCTTAGTTCCTGCTCCTCTGCCTCACTGAGGCTCCAGGCCTTATGATTGTACCCTGAAACCTAGCCACTGGCTCCTGAGCCATATAGCCAGGTTATAAAATGTGGGAGTGGTGCAATTTTTCAGTTTGTTTCTGGCACTGAGAATTTCCTGTCGTGTTTTTTTGTTTTGTTTTGTTTTTTGGGTTTTTTTTTTTTGGTTTTTGTTATTGAGCTGGGCATATGGTTTATATAATTATTATTATATTTTGTCCAGTATTACTATATAAAGGGAAGTTCAGTCAGCCATATTAGAGGAGGTCTTCTTGATGTCGTTTTTGAATGTAGGTGAGTTGGTGTTGGTGGGGTGAGGTCTGGAGCCGGCAACCAAGAAAGAATTCTTAAGACCTCTTTGGTGCAAAAAGG